GGAATGTAAGGCAAGGACTTTGCAGACCCTACATCCTTAATGATGGAGAAAACCTTATAGATCTCAGTGCAGCTTGCTAGGGTTGAATTAATGCTTTTGCAGACAAAGAACAGACATGACAGAAAATGCATTTATTTAACTGCTGTACAATGGAAATCTCAATCATTTTCCAAAGCCAGCTGAGGGAGAAATGACTCACATATCTTGTATACAGGAAGCCTCCATGTTTTTCAGTGCTGAATTTCTTTTTCTCTGAATATGTCACTTGTGTGAGTGCAGTTACCTGTTGAGCAGCAGCAATGTGTTTGGCAGTATGTAAACAGGGAGAAAGACGTGGTTCCGGCCCTGAGGAGCTTACAATCTAAAATGTGACATGGACAATACAATTCCAACATGTAACAAGCAACTGAAGTATCATCAGTCAGATATAAGACTACCCATTTTAACAAGCAATTGGAATACCAGATATATATATGAAGGCCACAGGTAGGACAGAGTGGCATCTTTTTTATGTATTTATATGTTCCTAAGTCTACAGGCGTGAAAGGTAGTGATGTTTTGCTTGAGGGAGTGATTTTATTTGCTTTGGCAAGGCTGCTCCAGCTTGTGCTTCCTGAACAAAAATAAGGAAAATTACATTAGAATTTAGATACTTCCGTGATTTTACACTAGATAACACTAGACAACATTGGGATGTATTCATTCCCATGCAAAAAAGGAACCTAGATTTAGGAAAGGTAGTATGAAAGTGTGTTGGGTTTGCCTGGTCAGATTTCAGTGGTGGGAGAGGCTGTAGGAGCAGCTTCTGCAAGAAGCTGCTAGAAGCTTCCCCTAGGTCTGACAGAGCCAGTGCCAGCCGGCTCCACAGGCGGATCCACCGCTGGCCAAGGCTGAGCCTGTCAGTGATGACAGGATAAGAACGCCTCTCTGAAAATTTATTTAAGAAACAGGGAAAAAAAGGACTGCTCTACCCAACAACTGGCAGAGAGAGAGAGAGAGAGGAGTGAGAATATGCAAAGACACCAAGGTCAGTGAAGTGGGGGCTAGGATGTGCTCCAGGAGCCAGAGCAGAGAGTCCCCTGGGTCATCGTGAAGACCGTGCTGAGGCAGGCTGTCCCCCCGCAGCCCATGGAGATCGTGGGCTGTAGATGTCCACCTGTGGAGGACCCCACATCAGAGTGGGTGGATGCCTGAAGTGGGCATTTGGCCTAGTTTTTAAGGCACTCAGAGTAATTCTATAATTCATATTTCTGGTCAATCTCCCCTCCCTTCCATAGTAATTTTGTTTAAAAATATTTTAGCTAAATTTGAGAGAGGGTGTCATTCGAGACATGGAGTTTCTAAAAGTATCAGTGAAATCAGTAGCTGAGTAAGAGAGGAGATGGACGGATTCTTGTCCCAGATGAGAGAAGCTGCAGTGAAGAGTTACATGTATTTTTGGCCCCTCAGTTGGGCACTTGGTGCTTATATACCGACCAGTCAAGCAGAATACACCTAGCACACTTCTCTTCGCATTGCTTATACTTAGGGGACACAGCAGAGAGCTGGAGTGTCAGAAGCCTGTCAGGGAGGTGAAGGTTGTAAGAGCAATGGGGAACAGATCGTAGGGTCTACTGTACTTGGTGGATGTTAGGGATCACAGAGATGGCCGAGTAGGAAAGTCAGGTTCATTGGTGCCACAGAAATGGCAAAAAATAACAGATTCATAAAGGGCAATACTTCTAACTAACTGTTATGTGTCAAATGCATAATACCTTTTTTGGTTTTGGGATCTTCTTTCCATTCTTGTCATTGCATGTAATAAAAATATGTAAAAATCTTTCAAGTTTATGTTACTTTAAGAACATTTAGAAATGGTGCGGTTATCTTAAGTTACCTGAAAACCTGTTCAAGAAACAATGTATCACAGGGAAGTTTACTAAGACTCTTCTTGTTCTTCCACCTCTTCGTTTTCTTCTTCCTCTTCCCTCTTTCCTTCTTCCTCTTCCCTCTTTCCTTCCTGTTTTTCTTCCTGCTTTTCTTCTTCCTGCTTTTCTTCTTCATCCTTTTTAAAGAAAATAGTTGTAATGATGTAGAAATCGATGGAAAAATAATCAGTCTTGAAATGCAGAGTTCTGTTTTTACAACTGTTCTGCTTCTAGTAAATGCAATATTATTTGCACTTAAAAAATAGAACAGAAAACTAACCTATAGAGCTTTTAATCTTAACATGCCAGAGCTCTAGCTTTGTGCAGTTAATTGGCAAGTGCTGGGATATAAGAACCCTCTTCTTAGAGAGGTTAGAACATGGTACAAGGTTAAGCTCAAAATAGATGTCCAGGATCAAAATGAAAATGTGAAATACATGCAAATATGACAAAAAGCTTAGTATTTTAATTATATGCTTTTCTGGAGCAGCAAACAAATCAAGATTCGTAGCACAGGAGCTAGACTCCTGAATAACGTAAAAATCATTTGGAGTCAGATAATACAACCTTGTTTCTGTGTCAAAAGTTCTTATTTCTATCTTTTATATAGAAGAAATCGCACAATTTAAATTCAACAGCCCTGTGCTTCGGGCAACCAAATAAAGAATTACATGAAAGCTAGCACTTATGCAACATGAGGAGCAATCTGTGTTTATCGTCTTTCAAAAGCTAGTAAACAAAGCTTCAAGGTGTAGTTCTACTCTGTTTACCTTGGCTTTAGTAAAGCCTTTGACACCGCTTTCCACGGCATTCTCTTGGAGAAACTGACTGCTCATGTTTAGGATGGGCATACACTTCAGTGGGTAAATAATGGCTGGATGGCCAGGCCGAGGGAGTGGTGGTGAATGGAGTGAAATCCTGTTAGCAGCTGGACATGAGTGGTGTTCTCCAGGGCTTAGTACTGGGGCCAGTTCTATTTAATATCTTTATCAATGATCTGGACAAGGGGATCGAGGGCACCCTCAGTGAGTTTGCAGATGACACCCAGCTGAGTGGAAGTGTTGATCTGCTAGAGTCTAGGGAGGCTCTGCAGAGGGATCTAGACACACTAGATGAGTGGGACAAGGTCAATTGCGTGAGTTTCAATGAGGCCAAATGCTGGGTCCTGCATTTTGACCACAACAGTCAAACGGCAGCGCTACAGGCTTGGGGAGGAGTGGCTGGAGAGCTGCTCAGCAGAGAGGGACCTGGGGGTGTTGATGGACAGCCGGCTGAACAGGAGCCAGCGGTGCCTAGGTGGCCAAGAAGGCCAATGGCCTGGATCAGGAATGGTGTGGCCAGCAGCATCAGGGAAGTGATTTTACCCTTATACTCGGCACTGGTGAGGCCACATCTTAAGTACTGTGTTCAGTTTGGGGCAAGAAAAGGAAGGACACTGGGGTTCTGGAACATGTCCAAAGAAGGGCAATGAAGCTGGTGAAGGGTCTAGAGAACAAGTCTTATGATGAGCAGCTGAGGTACTGGGGTTGTTTAAACTGGAAAAAAAGGAGGCTGAAAGGAGACCTTATCACTCCCTCAACTACCTGAAAGGAGATTGCAGAGGTGGAGGTCGGTCCGTTCAACCAAGTAACAAGTGACAGGACAGAAGTAAATGGCCTCAGGTTGCACCAAGGGAAGTTTAAGTTGGATATTAGGAAAAAATTGTTTACTGAAAGGGTTATCAGGCATTGGAATGGGTTGCCCAGGGCAGTGGTGGAGTCCTCTTCCCTGGAGGTGTTTAAAAGTCGGGTAGACATAGTGCTTAGGGATATGGTTTAGTTAAGGACTTGTCAGTGTTAGGTTAATGATTGGACTGAGTGATCTTAAAGGTCTTTTCCAATTTAGGAAGTTCTGTGATTCTGTGAAAAACAACTGCAAATGGTATTGTAGGCTTCTCTGCTCCTTTTCTTCTGGCATACTCTTATTCTAAGGGACTCCTGTGTGTCTAAACAAGCCTTATCTCAAAATGTAATACCTTGATATACTACTTAGACTACAAAAATTATGGGAATTTCTTCCTAGTGTAATCAACCAATCAAGGAATCCATAATTAGTTTTAAGTCAGGATGGAAGGCAGTGCATGAGAAGTGCAGACTGTAGGTTTTCCTCTCAGATACATACTATCTAGATGAGAGTTACATATGAGTGGCCAGAGTAAAATTCTGTTTAAACACATACTTGGGAACGAACCTGTTGTAATCAGATTCCTGGTTTGGATTATTGTCTTTCAGGGAAAACCACTGCACTAAGGGATCATCCCTGCAAAACTAAAAATGTAATACAAATGTCTGCACAGGTCAGCTGGATTAGAAATTCTTGTGCCAAAGGAATATTGCCTTTTTCAGCATTTTTCCCCAGGAAAAGTGCTCTTCATCAGCACTTTTTGAAACAGGGCCAGGCAAGCCCACAGAAAAGCGACATCTATCAGATATTAACAGATTCGGTTCAAGATCCAAGTCAATTATATTTGGCAGAAAAAAAAAGTCTTTCTTGCTTGAAGCATTAGCTAGTGGTGCCAGGATGCACTAACCAGACCTTGCGGCCCTTGCCAGCCTCACCAGCAGCACCCACATTTTGCCCATGGGCCCAGGAGCTCCATTTCAGCTGCCAGGTGCAGGACACATAACTCTGACAGCAAACACACGTGTATATACATATATATGTGTGCATGTATTGCAGTTTGGAAGTGGAAAGATGTGAACGTGCCTTCTTCTTAATTGCAGGTTTGTAGTGGAAAAGAGTCTAAAATGATCATTAGTTTTACTGGGAACACTGAAGAAATATTCAAGGCATAGATTTGCAATGATGGGCAAAGCAGAAAAGCATATAAGGATTTGCACCTGGGTCTTACAAATTCTGGCATGGAAACAATTTCCTTCATAGGCAGAACTGCTCAAATTGTCAGAATTATTCTTTCACACTCACAATACTGAAAATGTAATCAGCATGGTGTCAGTTAGCAACTGTCAAAGATGTAGTTGCCTTGGCAGTCCTTGGCAAATTTTATTAAAGAATCTGTGAAGACACTTTCTCTTCCATTTAGAGTTTTTAATGATTAAAGGTCTATCTTTGCTCCCAAACAATAAGACTGTGATATGACCAATCACTATCTCTGCAAGAGTATAATACTAGTATATTTAGTTTCATGAATAAGAATTTACTCAATTTTGAGTGAAGCAATGAGAATGAAAAGGAAGTAAGAAGATGAAAGAAAAATTTCTAAATATACTATACCTCTGTTGCTGCATGTTCTTCCTTGTCTTCCTACATAAGTGATACAAAATAAAATGTTTAAAAGCTAGGTCAAAGAAAGAATACCAGAAATCATACAGGTGAAACACAGCAGAAATTAAACACAGAATTTAGGAAAATTATCTGGAATTCAGTGGATTTATTTTAAGATAGTATCCTCCAGATTAACACACAAAACACATTTAAGCTAAGCTTTTGGTTTGAAAAAGAGCTATAAAATCACTAAATACAGATCTCTTTTTCTCAGTTACTTCTAGTCACATCAATTTCATTGGCAACAAATTGGCAAACAATTAGAGCTGATGTTTTCTTTGCTTTTTCAGGTGGGGTGTGGTTTGGGTGGTTTTTTTTGGAATTAGCTGGCCTGCAAAATGAAAGTTAAAACAGAATAATACATAGTCTTATCTATGTTATATATCATCACTCAGAATCTGGCTTGCAATTCTGTTAACTGTTGTAGGCTGAAACAGATGTCTTGCCTCAACAGTACTGGGGAATAAGAAATAATACAAGCTGGCTTTAGACTGTAGATTGAGCAAAAGTGATGAAGACAGATAAAAGAGAAAAAAATGTAAATGTACAGTGAATAGAATTAAATGTCCGATACTAAGATGACTACTTGAAAGAAGAGCTAATCTTACACAAAATCCCAAAGAGAAAGGGAAAATGGAGTAGTATCATGCAGAAGGCATGAGCCGTTGATATGAGTGTGCATAAAATGAGTCGAGATAAGGAAGTGAGCTGCAGTGCCAGGGTTTTTATATGGCCTGGGGAATTGCTGAGACAGGATACAGACTTGCATTATAATATGATTTTTTAACATGTTTCTGAAATAGTTCTGCCATGAAGTGGGCCTAATCTGCACTTCAAACTGATTTAACTGGGACAGCACTTAAAAAATATTCCAACTCCAAGGCTAATATCTAAAGTTAAAATCAGATAGTAAAAATAAAGAAAAATTATTACCACCACGTCTAGTGACCAGCAGAGCCCTTGCTGTGCCACATGCATTGGAGGTCACAGTCCTTTCCTCAAAAAACTCAAAGGGACAGGCAAAGCAAGAAAAGGGGACATTATATCTAAACAAAACGGTTCCTCAAACTTCTCTATCAGAGGATGGGGATTAAGAAGTAAAAACAGGTTAGGAAGAAGTCGAGGATAAGCTTGATGAAGTGATTTGGGAAAAAAAAACATGCAACAGGTGTAAGGTGAAAAAAAATCATGATCTATAGAAATTCTAGTGCAGCTGTCACTTGGTGACCCAGGCTGCAAGCTGTTTCTGTTATTGACTACTGGGTCTGTGTAAGGGACTTGCTATTTTGACATCTGCTCTGGGATTTCCTGGAAGTTTGTGTGAACAAGGAGTTGGAGCTGCTGAAGCCTAGGCAGTCCGATGTGAGCTGTGTGAAGAACAATCTGTTGCACTCTGCACTTATGCCTGCCACTTCCAAGAGGCAACTGCTCACTTAAGAGCTTTGTTTTTCAGAGGCCTGGGGTCTTGCTGGCTTCCTCAGGGTCATACCAGCCTGTGACAAAAAGCTCGAGCTTCTGTATTCCTGCATCTCCCAGCAAGGGCAGCAGAAGCAGTAGAGGAGGGCTGCAGACTCCACATGTACCCGCATTGACCTTCAGCTGCCGTTCCTGCTGCTGAGGCATTGGAGGAGCCTTCTGAAATCTGGGACCCTCCATGAAGCTCCACAATCGAGACAGTCACAGTTTATTTGCTTATCTGTCTCATGCTCGTTGGCGAAGACTGAAATGTCTTTACCTCACTCAGACCCTTCTAGAGTTTTTCCATAGCACTGGCATTTCCTGCAAAGTCACTGAAGAAAAGGTTACAGCCTAAAAGGGAGGGTCATTTTTAAGCTAGTTTGAAACTGCATGCTAAAACACACTAAGATTCCCACAGAACATAAAACTGTGATGTTGAAATTATGGCATTTTGATTTGAGGTTCTGTCAAAAGAGTAAATTGACACTCTGAGAAGGGCCTGACTACTGTTCAAAAGATGCAACTGTCTGCAAAATGTAGTGGGCCGCTGATAAAAAGATGAGTCTCTCAGAATACAGTATAGAGACCAGCTCTTAATAAACTAGAAGAACCAAAGACATGAGTGGGAAAAGCACACAGAAAACATCTATTCGGTGTGGTGAAGCAGTCAAACAAAATGTGTTGGGCTGCAGAATGAAAGGAAGAGAGGGAAATACTGAAAAATACTGTGTTGATACTACATGTATCCTTTAGGACCTAACATCCAGTGGATACTCCAATGGCAATTTGACAATCTTTAAATGCATTTCATAAAGCCCCCGCCAGGTATTTATGAGGGTAAAATGAGATACAGAGACAAAAGGCAAAATTCATCAACTGTAGCTGCTTCAGAGTTATTCTCATCTAAACTCATCCTCTGTGTGCTGTCTGTAGTGAATGAGAGTACTAGAATTTCTACAGAACGATTCATGCCATCCCAACTGAAGAGATAATTAGGATGAACTATGGCAAGGCGGACAGATGCCATGTCACTGAAGTGATTTGTCCTAGGTGATGTGGAAAAGTGGGTGGCAGGACAGGGTGAAAAAAGGGGTTTGTGCAGCCCTGGCAGGAGCCCCTGGTACCTTGCTGCCTGCAGAAATGAGTACTCTCCCTAAAAATGAGTGAGACAGGGACAGAAAAGTGTGCTTTTTTAAATTCCCCTAGGAGCTAATACACATGGTGATGGCATGATATGGCATGATAAAGGTGAGTATCAGAAATGGATGATTTCAAGAAGACTTTTCCTTCCTCTTTGTGCAAGACTGTATAAAAACAGTTCGACAATGCTAAGACCGTGCAGGTGAAGAGGGGGAGATTGGTGACTAACCATATTTTATGCTTTCATAACCACAGAGAGATATATGTAAACACACCATCTTGATTGGTTCCCTCTCCTCTGCCACCATCCTCCTTGTAAAACTAAATGAGAATATATTTTCTGTTTACCGCTCCAATACATTCTGTGAGAAATGGAGCAAGGTGCTTGTTGTATAGGATTGATATTGCATTATGTCATTACAAAACCTCTCATACACAGCTGCTTGACACATTTGCAGACATGTTCCAGTATTCTGTTCTCATTTGAAAAATATTAGAGTAGACTGCCAGCCAGAATGGCAAGTAACCTAATCCAGCCAGGGGATGCACTGCAGTTTTATGTTAGGCTTCACCTAAGAGCTGATGAAAAAGGTATCTGATGTCAAAATTCATAGAAATGTAAAAAGTGCTTGGATATAATTTAAGGAGAAATTTTATTTTCCACTAAGGACTGTCTCTCCTCATTTTGAAATGGTAAGTTGGACTTTCCAGTCCCTAAAACTTGCATGAGGCTGTCTAAAAAGGTGTTTTTCCAGCTTAATAGTGACTGATGCATCATTCTTAAAAAGGGTAATGGGGAAAGGCTTACAGAGAGGAAAAACATTACAGCTAAATGGAAAAAAAACAAACAACAAAACACATTTGTTTTGGTCTTCAGTGAAAGAGGTGATGCATTTGTGACACATATTCCACTAGGAGTGTCTGATCTCCAAACCACAAAAAAGCCCAATAATTGTAAGTGCTTGATCCAGCAGTAGGCCTGCCTCGTTGGGAAGAGAGTCACCTGACACTACAACATCAAAATAAACCCATCCTTAAATGCTAAACTGTCAGAGCAGCAGAAGAAATAAACCAGCTGGATCCTTATCTCCCAGACACAGGATCCATTTCTGCTTAGTTTCTGCTGGGCCTAGAACTTGGACAGTAACATAAACACCCCACTGAGGAAGATATGAGGACTCAACTGAATGGTCCTTCCTGCAGAATCCCTTCTACTTTTCAACCATAAGTACTTTACTGATGCTAGCCAACTGGGAGATATTATACGCGGGAACGGAAGGAACTCAAACAGCTCCTTCCTAAAACCTTAGGCACTGCAGTTTGAGATCTGCCCATCAGACCATGATGCAGGCAGAAATGATAAAAACGATCTCCACTTCTGCACCGCCCAGAGGTTTCCACATGGCTTGGTGAAGTCCATCAGATCTGGCTCGCCGCAACAGCAGTCTGGTGCTTGGCTGGTACTTGACAACAAACATTAACAACTAGATTTACGAGCACTGCAGATGCTGGCCATTGATAGCAGCAAATTTTTCCATGCAGATAGGACTTAAATGTCTAGTGGTTAATTATTCTCCATAGCTGGAATCTGATTCCAAATGAACTTTAAAAAAAATCTTATGGCAACGAGGAGCAAAAGGAAACTGTCAAAAAAGACATCTGCTATTATTCAAGATTCAGAGCAAAAGTCCTTGTAGTTCTACACAGGTTTCGTATAACCATGATGTCAAAGAAAATGGATCCAAAAGACAAGACCACTCTGCAGTCTTCCCACCCTGGGGAATGCTAGGAGGGCCTGTGGGTTTATGTTTCATGCACTTAGCACAAGGAAAACCCTCATATCACAAAGAGAAAAAGGAAAAATTACCTGTTGATCTTCTGATGGTAATTCAGCAGGCTGAGCCTCTTCATGAGCTCCTTCACCTGCCTTGTCTTCCATGTGTGCCTCAGCTTCATTCGTGGCATCACACTTATCCGTTTCCTGGCAGAAAAATAGAAGTCACTGATAGCTTCAGGGCACACAAACAACAATTCTTCTCTCTAAAGCTCAACTTTACAGTTTTGAGAGGTGTTTTTCTAATTTTGTTTCAGCGCTCAAATGAAAATAGACCATTTCGAACACTTTCCTGTGAAAGGAGCAGTTGTTAGCGCGTTGATGTGTTGAAGTGTTCTATAAAGCATGAGGCTTGTGGAGGGGAAACCGGCAGTGTTCTAGAAAGCATTGGGCTTGTTTAGGGAAAACAGGAATTCATGCACTTCTTCCTCTTCAGAGCATAGTAGATTCTCCTAACTTTTCTGTGGAAAGTTTAATAGAAACCAATGCTCATCCTTACAGCACATTCTAGCTTCAGAAAAAAAAAATCGCTTTTCGCCAGCATGTATTCTAATTAAATTTCATCAAAACGCTACAGAAAAACAGAAGTAATAAAGGATTTCATAGATGGTCTCTTAACTTTCGTGTTAAAAATCATCAGGAAGCTGTCCCTCAATTCACACGCTAATCTACCAAATCTATTTATTCCAGCACCATGAACGAGCACCTCCTAGAAGGCTCTTTATAAAGTCCTGTTGTACTTTGAGCTAGGTAACTGTGAAAGGCCACGCTGGATCACACACTGTGTCAGATAAAAGGAGACCTTGAGTGGAACAACAGAAATAGAATGAAATGCAATAGCATGACGTGCAAAGTCACATTTTTTGGGACAGGTAATTCTGGGACAGAGATCAGAAAAAGATGTTTCTACCGCACTTTGGGAGCTTCTTAGTTTGTGACCATCAAAGAAGAAAAAGATTAATGTATCTAAATAATCACAGAATAACCAAGCCACGACTGTGATGTGATAGCAAAAGAGGTAACACATGTGATGGTCAGATGCATGAGGTGAGGTGTAGCTGGTAGAACTGGAAGAGAATATTAATGTAACTATGTAAGGTCAAGACGAAATCTCCTCTGGATCGCTCTGTACTGTTCCAGTCACTCAGGCTCAAGAAAGAGAAATTCAGACTGGAACAGGTGCAGAGGGGGGCTATGGGAACATTTGAGGGAGTAGAGAGCCTGCCTTATGAAAGGGTGACAAAAAAAAGCTTCATTACTTTAATCTTATTAAAAGTAATGCTGTGAGGGCATATGATGGCTCTCTAAAAATAGACCAGAGTAAACACCAGGGAGGGATAGGATAAGGAAGATCACTGAGGTAAATGCAAAATTAGTACAAAATCCATGTAAATAAAAATTCTTATCATCATCAGTGTGAAATTTTGGAAGAGCTTTCTAGTAGAGAAGCAGAGACAAAGGACTTAACTCATTAAAAGGGAATATGATCACTTATGAGAAGTGTTATCTGATGTGGTTGCCTCCAGCAACAGAAAATTTGGCTCAGGGGAGGTCCTGTCATAAGTCATCCTAAATACTACACACTTTGGGCAAAGCAGCATGTCCCTGTCTGTCATGATCAGAGTGAAAATGGACAAAATACTTCTGTAGCTTTGTCTTTTCTCTGAAAATTCACTGCATGTAAGATTTGGCGCCCTTTTGGCAATTTCTTCCTGAATCATGGAAAACAGGTTTTGTGTATGTAAATAGCTTGTCATGAAAAGAGAGTAGGCACATAGGTTCATAAGTTCCTCTTCCTCTCTGCAGAGAAAAACAATAGGAAAAAAAACAACAACAACAAATATCAAGAGCAAACATCAGCCTCCCTGCAGTCCTTGCCAGCACTGCATAGCCTCTGCCCTCCTGGCAGCAAAACCCTTTCCAGGGCTGCATGGGGAATGGGAGCAGGAGGCTGATTAAGATTAAAGCTTCTAAAAGAAAAACATTTCTCTATCTCACACAATTTGCCCACTCTGCTACACAGCTGCAGGATTGTTTTTGCCAGCGCGTGGGGGATGCTTGGGGAGCGGAATAAGCAGTTGGGAGTAAGAAGAAGGAGCCAGAGGAAGGAGAAAAGACTACTTCTTTTTCTGGCAATATTGCCTTATTTCCAGTACACCTAAAACAGTGCCCTCACGGCACTCTGATGCTGGTGGTATTGCTATTAAAAACAGACATACAGAAAAATTTGTTTTCTTTCTCTTTTACTTTCCCCACACAAGCCAACAAAATATTTGAAGATTAAAATATGTAGTAACACAGACATATATTGAAATTCTCTTGTGCAACATTATGGTATTACATTGCTTTCTTAAGCAAATGATAACTTCCTTACAAATACTTTCTTTGTAGCAGTTCCTAAAACAAAAAGGACAGCGTTAATGAAAATTAAATTGGTTAGATATTTGTTTTCAGCATAGAATCATAGAATCATAGAATCATAGAATCATAGAATCATAGAATGCATTGGGTTGAAAGGGACCTTTAAAGGTCATGTAGTCCAACCTCTTTGCAGTGAGAAGGGACATCTTTACCCATTTATTTTAAAATTCATGCATTAAATATTTTTTGCTAGATATATAAAGTACATAAAGACTGAAGATGGCATTCTAATTAAAATAGACCTATTGTGCAAAATTATCTCAGATAAATCATATACTTACTCAGAACATAAGGCAAAAAAAAGTTGCAGCTAAAAGAATTAAACTCTGGAAGGAGCATGAGCCCACATACACACACACTTGTTAATTATATGGAGAACTGTGATGTTTGGAATATCTTCATTATACTAGCTCTCCATAGAAACACAAAACTTAATTTTTAAGTAATTTAAAATGAAGTGCCATTTATAAAGTTGGTTGACAGGTCATTTTCCCTTAAATAAAAAGCAGAGACTGTAAATTTTTAATTCAAAGCAGTCTCAGTAGAAGTCTTCTGGTAAAAGACTAAAGCTCAAGTATCTATGGATATTGGGAAATCAAGATTATGGATATTAAGATCAAGAATACTAAGATTAAGGATTTAATTACATATAAGATTTGAAAACAGAGTCTCAGCTCAAGTCAATCAGCCTCACTGAGTTCACAGAGAAATTGCGAACCTAAAATGGGTTCTCTGGACCTCTGGGAAACCAAAGCACTATTCCAGAAGAGTTAGTAAAGTTCTCAAAAAACTTGTTTCTCCCTGAATATAAAAAGCAACTAATTACCTGCGTTCAAGCCTTTTTAAGATACTCAGAAGGTGTAGTAATATAGCATACTGTTTCTTAGTGTAAGTAACGGGCATCGCATCAACAAAACAGTTCATCTGTGCCAGTTTAGAAAACAAGTCATGCAGCCAGAGCTTTTAATGGGCTATTCACACATTACCAATATTTCAGAGCATTTTCAAGAATATTAAGAACGGTCTCGGACTAAAAGTGATGAGGGCTTTAAAACAATAAGCATACCCGACTTTTGGGACTGCTGAGACTGACACACCTGACCCTAGACATACAAACTATATTGATTACAGCTTGCACTCTACTACAAGTATTTTGTTGGGAAGTTACGTTTTGTTGAGGGAGTAGCAAAAAGCTCCTCTGCTTGCTCCAGAAAATAGTCTCAAAAGAGTCCTGGGTCAGGATCCTCCTAAACTGCTGTGAAAGAGCATCTTAGTCACTGAAGGGCTTCTCTGCTGCTGGTGCAATGTGAGACAAAAGACAGATGGAAAAGGAAAGACGATTTTCTGAGGCAAGAGTATAAATCATGCATCAACTTGATATTAATATTTATAATGTCTCAGTGATGTAAAAACCTCTAGAAAGCAAATGCTTACTGACTGTTCTGTGGTGTTCCACGCATTATAGTTTGCTTCTGTTATAACTTCACCATATTAAAAAAAAAGGGAAAAAAAAAGAAAACAATAAAACACCGTAATTATTTAAGAAGGGATTAGTAGGAAACCCTGTTGTATGTGTCCTTATCACCATCTCTTTCACACCTAGCTTATTATTCCAGATTCATGTTGCTGGAAATCAATGTCACCAGCCATCCATTGTACTTCATGATAAGGTTGAATTGACAGCCTAATGAAAGAAAAGCAGAAGCTGTGCAGCAAGGTCATTTGTATGACAAAGCACAGCAGGCTGTCACGCAGTGAAGATGCTGAAAAACACCTCTGCAATAACTGCTAAAACACTTATATAAATCTCTCTCAAATTCAGGAACAGATTCTAAAAGGGAGGCAATTTAAATATACTTCCACTCTGTATACGAATTACTTGAAAACACTCTCACTTATTTCCACTTTCTGGACTGAAACAACCACCACCAATGCAGCAGTCAATCAGTGTAAACCATATTTGCTTGCTACCAATAGCACTAACAATAAATTGCCCCACAGAATGTACTGAACATATTATTTTCAACATTCACAAAGTTGTCATGAAGTAGAAATTTTAATAGTCTCTACTGAGAGCTGGGAATGGAAGAATTCTAAAAAATTGTTACTCTGCTTCATAGACTGTCTAACAGAACCTTGCATGAAGGATCAGATAATATATGAAGTGGAAAGACGGAAAAATGCAATTTTCTTTATCTTATTGATTTTCCACATATCTTTTATAATGATTATAATATGTAATACCTGCAGTCCTTTAAGTCTTTCATGGCTTTGTGGATGTTAATTAAATGAATTCTCACAAGACCCTTGTGAGGTAGGCAAGTAATTTTTATTTCCCTTGGTGCAAGATGGCCCAGCTAAATCAGAAAGTTTAAATCACTTGCTTCTTATTACACAGGGTCTCAGTCAAAGACATTTATAGCAACTGTGGCTCTCCCCTGGGTATCTCTTCATCTGTAGTTCCCAAAGTACTGTGCAAATGCTCATTCTTTTTATCTGATTTTACAGAAGACAAAAACCAGACAGTTACATCAGCGTTTCACTCAAAGGTGCTACACAGTTGGCAGTTGAGTTGGATCAGAAAGCAGATTTCATGCTCCAGGGCAGTTCTTCAGCCAGGTCACCACGATGCACCAGAGCTCTCCTATCACTCTGGCTCATCACTCTCTTGATTCATTTATTTTGCTGAATCACTTGCTTTAAAGATGGTAATGTTGGATTATCATCTAATATCATATCAGTTTAAGAGAGCTGTAATGCTCAGTTATAAAGCTTCTAATCAGAAGACTCAATGACAAAATGCATTGTTTTCTGTATAAAGAAGAAGAAAAAAGAAAAACAAAAACCAGAGAAACATCTTTTTCTTTTGCCAAAAATATATTAGAACATTGCCAATATACAGTGGATGGAGAACAATGGGCAGATTTGCCAAACGGATTTCACGAAGTGAGGAAGTTACCTCTTTAAGGCAGAGGGAGCCAACCCTGTAGTGCCAGTCTCGGTGTGTACCGGGGACTGAAGGGGTCCACCTCCCAGCCCCTCTGTTGGTGACCAGTACAAACCCTGTTTGCTCAAGATTTGATGGAGACAAGGGGAAGTGGAGGTTTCTTGTAATTAACACAACCTATAAATTGCATTAGGAAATTATGAATCATTTAAAAGCTGAATATGATAAAATAGTGCTTTGCATCAAAGCCAGAAAAAACTCATCAGCTGGAGCCATGGTAACAAGCCTGCAGTGAAAGAAGGGAAGAGAAAAATAGTTTCTACTATTTACTGAACCAGCCACCATTTTTTTCCCCTTAAAAACACTTTGCTGCAACAGCATCTAATGTAATGCTTGTCACTGTCCCTTATTCGACATGCTGAGTCACTGCCTATCTTAATCTTTTATTAAAATCAAATAAATGGCCCCCATGGAAGGACAGCAGCGCATACCTTTGTGCCTGGAGGAGGAGCAAGACCAAGAAATGAATAAATAATATTTTCTTCTTTAGCAGAGAAAAAGGACTCAAAATCCTAAAAAAGAAGAACAAATAAACAACAGAGAATCAGTAACAAAAATCGAATGAAAGCACAGGAGGAAAAGACTAGCCCAGGCAAATCTTTCTTATACTGATGAGAATGACTATGCATTTGTACAAGTGCCTGCATTACCTGAGGCCCAGGAAGAAAGCTCAGATAAAAGGAGTTTCACACTGGCTGGCAAAATGAACAAAGGGGCAAATTCCTTCAGAGACTTACACTTTAATTATACCATGTCTATGTGACAATGAGATAAAATTTATGTGACAATCAGATAAAATTTATGTGACAATCAGATAAAATTAAGCATCTCATTGTAATATGCCTCAGATGTACACACCAAAGGAAAGCTATTCCCATCTAAATGTTACAGTAAAACTTGCTGTAGGAACAGAAAATAAGGCCTCAAAACCCTGAACAGCTTTATGGCCAGTAAAAGGCAACAGTCGACGTTATAGCACAAGTGAAATGTTAATGATGAAACAGTTTATTTTAAAGTTGCTGGTTTAGAAAATGCAGTTACTTTTCAGACATGCTTAGCAAAGGACTATGTTATTCCCTCTGACACATATGTACCACCCAAAATGTCTTGTCCACATGTGAACTGAAGCTATAAATCATTACATTAAATTCCTTTTTTCGGGGTTAACACAACTGAAAATACGTGAGGGATGGCTCCTATCCTACCACCTAGAACTTGAACGGTCTTTCCTGTATTCACCTGTACTACTTTCCTATCAGTTAAGGATGCTATGTCCTCACTAGTTTGTTACTGGGGAGTTCCTGACTCACATCTTACACGGATAAAAATCAACACATATTTAAGATCTCAGCAGAAACTCTGTGAGTGATTGGCAGCTCTGTGTAGGACAGGGAACCGAATGCATGGCTAATGAGTCCCAGACAACTGCCTTGACCACATTGTCATCCTTCCTCTTATCCCAAATGACTTCAAAAATAGAAGCTTGTAAATAGTAAGGTGCTGACTCATCCTTGAGACTTGTTAGCAAAGCTGGGTTAGGACCTGAGCTGTTGTATTGGACTCTTTCAGTATTTCCAGAGAACAAATTATTAGCCAAGGGCAATCCTAGGGAAAGGCTGGAGTGGATGGTTTAGAAGACACTTAATGTCAACAAGAATGGAATGAATGACACTTCTGTCCACTTTGGAAGAGGTAACGTAGCTTAACAGACAGGACAAATGACAGCTCATTTCACTGATTTATCTAAGGGACAGACTGGCTTCCACACAGACCTAAGTACAGGCTGTTGGAACCGCCTGATCTGAGAGAAGCCCCAGAGCACATTTTGGTCTGTCCAGGCAGATTACTTTCTGCTGCTCCAGGCCACCCATTTCTCAAAACTTCTCTTTCCTGATTTCGTGTTGCTGTGGGGTTCTCCATTCACTGAATGACCAAAGATAACTGTTCCTAAGGCAGGTAGTAAGAAAAATGAGCAGTAACAATGTATTTCAGGTAAGCAATAATATTGTATCTATATGAGAAAACATAAACGGTCTAGGAGGAGGGTAGTGATGTCATTTGTCTTAGGAACTAGTCGTTGAAAAATGCAGTGAATTGTATTTAAAAAAACCCAAAACTACTCCATGAGTTTTTCTTCATGTATATGCACATATATATTCTACACTATCATCCTTTGTATGACCATCGTGAAAATGCCAGACAGCAAAAAAAACATTGTCCAACAGGATATCAGCAGAAACTTCTTCCCCACAGGAGTAGTAGGGCATCAGTTAAGAGAACACAGAGAGGGCATGGAAATAGCATTCTTGGAGATTACTGAAATTTAGATGGCCAAAGGCCCAAGCAGCATAAGCTAACTTTAAAGCTATCTGTGCTTTGAGCAGCCAGCTGGGCTAGAGGTCTCTAGAGGTCTTTATGATTTGCATATATTAGATTTGAGCAGTTATATGAAGCAGCAGACAAAAGTCTTAACTGATAATTCAGAGATTCTTTTTAAAAAAATATGGACATGGATATTTTATTCTATGGATTTCAGTTTACAAAGCATAGATTTCAGCTTACAGAGAAAATCAGAAGTTTACATTTCTTTCGAAGTTTTCTAGGGTCTTTTGTTAAGCAAAAGCAAAGACAAGAGCAAAAGAGCGCTCAATATATTTAGTAAGTGACATGGATGCAGACGTCTGTCTAGACATGAGTAAAGAAGCAGCTTAAAAAAAAGATCGTATAAGAATATAATTGCCAACACGAATGGATTAGAAGGGATACTTGAAATTGGTGCTATAGCCAGGCATACAAGATGAATCCATTTCTAATCTGTTTCTTCAAATAACAATACCAAAGATCTGAAAGAAAAATTAGTTTCTATTTATAAGACAGTCTTAAGCTTCTTTTTCTTTCATGGAAAAGCCACTCATAGTTGTATTTTCATAAATGCGTCTCTGAGAAACCTCCATTTTACAGTAAAAGTTAAGAAGTGAATCTGCTCTTCAGCATCAGCCAGAAAATGCAGATACTTTTATGTATCAGCAGAAAAGGAGATTAGCAATAGCACTGCATTTGCTTGCTCACTGTTGTCATCCTATTTGGGCACAAAGAGGAAGCCTCCTATTCTGTCCCAATATCCCCTTGTTCCTTACCAAAATTTTACTGAACTGCAGAAGAGAGGATTGGAGAATAACTCAGAGGACAATTTCTCCAAGGCAGGAATCACTACACCATTCCAGATAGATGTTTCTCCAATTCATTGGTAATGACCTTTAACAAGATAATCTTCTGAAAACTACGTGTTTTTTTCCTGATATCTGACTTAAACTTCCTTTGCTACACTTTTTTTTTCCTCATTATGTCTTGTCCCACCTCTAGTGAGTGTGGAGCAGAACATATTTTACAAAATACTGGAACCACAGGGTGGGAAGAAGACCCACCTGATTCAGGAGACCATCTAGTCCAACCTTCTGTTCAAAGTAGGGTGAATATTAAATTTAAACAACCAATGAACTTCTTTTTGCTGCAGCCCTTAAAATATCTGAAGGTCATCTTATCTCTCTCGAAATTCCTCTTTCTCAGGGTGAAGAAGGAAATCTTTTATCTTGAGTTTTTAGATGCCACAAGACTGTGGCCCTGGAAGACTGTCCTAACAAGAGCAACATATTTTAAAGGGACTTTCATGAATCCAGGATACTGGACTAGAGTCCGTGACTTGCAGAGACTCTTGCAATTCTCAGCCCCTTTTTTAATAAAATGACTGAGGACAAAGGAAATGGGACACGGGGGAGGAGATACATCATGTAAACCTTGAACAGCATAGAACAGTCCTGGATATCAGAACGATGGGTCTGTTGGACCTGCGCAGGTTATGCTGGGTAGTAGAATGTAAGTCCCCAGCTTTACATTGAAGACATGTTGCAGAAAAAATCATGTTGCTTGGAGGAATTCTGCACCCATCTGCCAGTCCCTGCTCATGTTCCCAACAAACTCACATAATCCCACTTCACATTCACTGCACAATACCCTTAAGGCACTTTCCCCTGAGGAGAAGGGTAAGGCTCATGTACTGATATCCATCTCCTTACTTCATTTATTTGAAAATAATGATGTAATAAATTAATCTTTGCTGTGCCCCCACTGGGATCATTAGCTACAAGCTTTGAGAGCTGAGTACATTAAAATTCTGGAGACTTTTAGACTAATTGTAAATTTGATTTAGGTTTTAAATCAGTAGCTGCAACTGTTTTCTGGACCCTTTTCCACAGGGAGGTGTCTTTGCGAAGAACTCTTCCTTAACTTTAATTTATTTCAAGATGTAGATTATTTGTAGATTATTCCCAAAATAGCTTCAGACATAGAGTAAAAACTGTATATTTATCACTTACTGGCAAGGCTGACAAGCTACAACAATTTGTAAGGAAATTACTCTTTAATTCACTATACAACCTCTCCAGAGAATATCAGAAATATTTACTGCAACATTGGCTGTCACAAAGCCAGAGTAAGATATATCAAATTATACTTTTTATTGGTGCAGATTGGATGTTGAAATGCACATGAACTCTAATCTACTAAGTTCTCTTTTAAGATTCCTAAGAGAAAAGCAGGAAACATTCCATTATTCATGCTAGCAACTTTTGCTCTGAGACCACTGAAGTTAATTCTGAAAACCTAGTGGCATGTAAATCCCTTCTCTCCCAAAACAACCTTTGCGGTGGTTCACACCGGATTTGCAGAGTAATTTAAAACTGGGCTCACTATGTGATCTGCGTTTCAGAGTACTTTGCAAGTTCGTTTCAGCGATCATATCAGAGTACTTTACAGACTACGTATTTCCATCCAGACTATGAGAAAAAAGCTGTCTCAGATATCTCTTTTGATTCATGATCCTAATATTCATGCTGTTACAGTATTACCAATCACTGATTTGAATAAACTTTCTCAAGAGAAATAACCTATTACAAGCATATATGAAAACATAAAGGCATCTGATGAAAATTATGATTTCTGTTATGAAGAGTCGGATATTTATTGAATAACTAATATAATTTCAATAATTCCAACCACATGCTAGAACTATTCTAGTCAACTACAATATTTATTTACATAATATAACAGAAAATAAAGATTCCTATTCACAGACCCTGGTGCCTCAGACATCTACTTAACTTCCTAGAAGCCCAGATGAGTGTGCCAAGCAAAATAAACAGCAACACTCACCATGCAAAATTACATGAACGTTCAAGAAGCAAAGTGCAAAGCTAGAGATAGCAGATCAGCCTTGCTACGAACCTCACTAGTCTTCGGTAGCTCAGTATTGCCAAGCCACATAACTGGGCATTTACTACTGCAAGTGCAGCTGAGCTACATTTGGTTATCCTAAGACACTGTATGAGAAAGCTGTAGTTTCACCTAGCCAGCACCACCTTTGATCTTTGGAAGCTGATGTAAGGGTCAAGGCAGAGAGCCAACAGCAGGACAACTTGTGAGTGAGTTACATGGCAGGAGGTAGGAGAATGTGAGAGGAGAACACAGACCTCCTCACAGACAGCAAACTCTACACCTTGCAGCGAGCTCTGGATCCTGCATAGGCTCTGAGTTTGCAGATGATAATCCATACAACCTGTTAAGCAGAGTTTCTCTAGTCAATTTTCCCTCCATATGTATTTTTGTCTTGAAAAGGAAACATTTGTTTCATTGTTTTTTCTGTGCTTAAAATAATGTTTTCCAGGGATTGTTCTTCCAAAGTGAATCTCAAATTGTCTTAAGGAGTTTGTTTAACAATTCCCGCTCAGTCCCCATGTGTTGCCAGGTCTAGTCGAGAGGTGGCGTCCCTGCTCATGACAGGGAGGTTGGACTAGATGATCTCTAAGGTCCCTTCCAGCCTAGGCCATTCTATGATTCTATGATTCCCTACTAGTGGAAAAGAGTTGCTTTCTGTGAAAGAAGACTCTCTGAAGATACTTAAATTTCCAAACAACTTCTTACCCCACAGTACCGCTCCTCGTTGAAGATCTGTGGAGGGAGGGGAATTCCATTTTGAGGCTTTTTTTCGCCTGGAACATTCTCTCTCATCCATTTCCTGTTGTCTTCATCACCTGCTATGTCCATTTGCTGAAAGTCAATCTTGTTGGCCTCTAGAAAGCCCACTACTTCTTGCTGTTTCTTTTTGATCTGGTTAGGAAAGAGAAGAAGCAAAATTCCTTCTTTAATAAGAAAATACTTTTCTACATGCAATTGCAAGCATGTCAAGTTAGATCCACTGCTCCAATAGCCCCTAAAGTTTTTGAACCTGAGATTCAATGCTGCTTCTCAGCACCCAGAGCATTTAGCTTTCTGTGGGCTGTATTTCTCTCTACCCCTGTTATTTAAAAATAATTAAATATAAGTGAAAGCTCAATGAAAATCCAGTACAGCCTAACTCCCCATGTTACTGAATGGTGTTTCAGCTGGACTGTGAGGAACATACTACATACAAATAAAGCATGTTATACACAGATTCTGTGCCATCCAGAATTCATTCACGGCATTTATTCCCTTTGATGTTAGTTCTGTATAGGCTTAGGATGCAGGCATCAGGCTTATAACCCATCCCTTTACCTTGAAGATGTAATACTCACTATACGTCTCTACTAAAGGCATGCTACTCCTAAGCAGCATTTAAAGAACTTCTCCATTTCGTTTATGTCTTGCTTGTCTAAGAGCTGCAAGGTCAAACTTTAGCCCTACAAATATTGTGGCATTTGAAGGAAGCACTGTTTGGACTGATCTGCACAAATTCCCTCAAGCTTCTCTTCAGTCACAGACAACTAAATTACCATCTAGCACAATCACGTTCCAGACACACTTCTCCTCCCATTTATGCTACTCCATGCAACAAGATACTGTCCTATAGACACAGGAGCTCGAATGATGTATCAAGGTAATTTTTACATACCAGCCATCACATGATTTGAAACCATGTCTTCCACAAAGTCAGACATCTGAACAACTTAATTTACAGTGATACCAAGCTAGTTTAAATCAGACTGAGACAAACTATGAAGCAATAAATAATTTGTGGATTATGTATCTCTGTAATCTAATAAATTTGAAAAGCTGGAGTCATAGCCTATTATATTGGGAGAATGAATTTTCATGATTAAGGATAAATTTTCTTTTTCTTGTTTAAATAAGGATGTATCTATCTATAGAGCTATGCCTTCTTATAAAAAATAACAAAGACAAAACCCTGTGCATTTTTAAGACAACAACAGAGGTTTATGGTGAGGTAAAAAAAGGACATCTCTTTGAATGGAAACACCAATCCAGAGTGTTCAAAAGCCATACAGTTGATAGTTCTCAAAGGCGCTTTTTGATATTCTTCCTTTCACTTTTTAAGCAGACATCATTTTCTTGATGGTTATTTAGCTGCACAGTTATTTGCAGAAAACACTCAAGTGGCAGAAAGGGTTGCTTGAGGGACATGTCGTCCGAGGTAGTAGCAAGATAATGTCTGTATAAATGGTTAATAAAATCTACATAAGTTAGTACTGAGAGTTTCACCACATGCTTTTAACACCAGTGTACTCAAGTGCTATCAGCTGCAATTTCGGCATCAGCTTGTCTCTTCGGTCACAGGCAGTGAAGTAGATACAGTTCCTGGAATAGCTGGTTCCTCAGATGGATAGTAGCTCTGAGGAGGTAATGGAAACTAAGCCACAGATTCTGTGCTCCCTTGCTTTTATGGCTGTAGCTATGACTTTTAGAATTAAACCTGAACAAACAATTTTTCTTCAGCTTGAGGTTCAGGATACATGAGAGACTCAGACAGCACCAAGACTGAAACCAAAAATTAGGAGAGGGCTGTGCGAGAAGTGAATGTTGAGGAAAAAATAAAGCTGCATGCAATTATGCCTGAATAATGCAATTATGCCTGAAATGCTTCTCATGGCAACAGCCACAAACTATGTGGAGATGTGCTATTTCTTAAGGCTTACCAGAGTTTAGGCAGGGCAAAAGACTTGGGACACATGCTGAGCACAAAACCATAAAGCAAGCCTCTGCGGTGGCTGGCACTGGGTAGGTGGGCAACCAAAAGAATCTCTCTGGCAAACAGCACTCAGAGAGGGAAATCTTTCAGAATGTAAGACAGAGAACACGCAAAGGTTTTCCCAGAATGAATGAGATTGCAGGAGCCTGTTTGGGCTCTCACTGGTGTTTGGTGGAATGGGAAGAATTCAGATTACTTAGGCATGGATTCCCCGGAAAGTGGTTGTGATCAGGCTATTATTTCATCAATGTCATATTCTTTCAACAAAGTGCAAGTTCCACCATCCCTAGCTGCTAGTCTCTTAAAATAAAAATAAATTTAAAAACCTGTTTTAAATAAACTCTATCTAGTTAGAGTGTAAGAGCTACAGACAATATTAATTTAATTTGATGCATATTTAAATACTATCATCCATATCTTCACAATCTAGAGCATTCACATCGACCAGCTGCCTATGGCAGAAGCAAATGGCACCTAGTCAACAACTTACACCAAGAGGAACATTAATGTTGGCAGGCAGAGTTGCCTCAGCATCTGGTTCTAATAACTTATTCCTGATAATTATTCTTATTTATCACACTCTAACCTCTGATTTGAATTGAAATTGATTTGACATTTGAGCTCAGGTTTCTATACAGCTAGACTCGTAGTCAGGGATGGCAAACACCTTCCCCGTATTTTAGAGGACGTAATTCAAATAGTCTACATTTTCCTCAGTCTTTGTGGGACCTACAGATCTGAGGGTTGGCAAGTTCATAAAATGTCACCAAAACCACTGGGAATAAAATGATTTTAGAGGCCCCCTAACCATGAGCACCAGTAAACAAGACTTTGGAAGACTTCCTATATGTAAGACATGAACCTCCTTTCTCCCACGATTCATGGTACCTTAGAACCTTGCAGGCTATTACCCGTTTCAAAACACTTCTGTAGCTGGTAACAGAATTATTTTTTCGCTGCTTGCTTAAGGCCAAGAATTTAATACTTTTTAGCACTATAAATAAGTGTCTCCACTTCTGCTTGCCTTAAGGAATAGTTCAATATCAGCTAAGTTCGGAGCACAAAGATAATAAGGCTGAAGCTATTTAAAATAAATTTCTTAATCTACAGACTACAGATTTGGTCTAAAGGCACAGTGAGTTGTATCACTCAGGCATCTGATCCAGAGCACCAGAGTGTTACCAGGTTCACTTCATTCACTTTTAAAAAATATTAATATGACAACCAGTTGCAAATGGCGTGACTGTGTAGTACACAGAATAGAAATGCTTTTCATTCTTTACCAATGATCCTCTGCTGACTTACATCAGAGAAAGCAGGGCCTATCCTACTTTGAAATTCAAAATGAACAAGAAGATCAGCTCCGTCTAAGAGTGTACCAGTGTTACTAGGACAATTCAGACTTACAGTTTAAGCTCTTTAGGGATTAAATTCATTCTTCTCAGGAGAAGTTGTACAAGGTTGATACAAAATTTGTTTTTAACGGGATTTTAGTGATATATTGGTGTTTGTGCTCGCTCCTTGTATGAGTGAGTTCTATTTTGTGTATACAAAAACTCACTAAAGCTTCACTGAAAGGACAGCCTCCATTCATTTTAATCAGTAAATGTGTGAAAACTACTCCAGCTGAACACTGTGTTTACTTGGCATTGCTATTCTGTGTCAGTAATCTGAACAGCAGGCTGCCTTCTGAGATCGCTACAGCTATACATACACCCAATATATCAGAAAGGAGGAAATAGAGAGGCATATTACCACGTAAATATGTATACCCTTCCTTCCAGTATATGTCCAGGATTCCAATAATCACTTTTGTGGGCTGCTAACATACAGTGGAGATTGGAATTAATAACCTGAAAACCTATTACAGTTCAATGCTTAACAGCTCAAAATGGCTGGATCAAGCTCATGTGTTGCTCAGTGTTCAGTGTCACATGGGGCTGGTTAGCTCAGTGGGTTGAGCATGGTGCTGACAACAAGGACCAACACCGAGGTCGCGGGTTCGATTCCCACTCGGTCCCCATGTGTTGCCTGGTCTAGTCGAGAGGTGGCGTCCCTGCCCATGACAGGGAGGTTGGACTAGATGATCTCTAAGGTCCCTTCCAGTCTATGCCATTCTATGATTCTATGTGCACCCCTTCCCTGCAGTCCACAGAGTCAGTTCTAGTTGCTAGCTGGGAGGAGATAGAAAGCCCGTGTATAGTGGAGGCAAAATCTTGGTTGAGCTACTGCTAAATATATGACACGCTTAGTTTTAATTGCTCAAGTGATCTCCAAATGTTGCTGTTTAATCAAAGCACTCATACAACCGCCTTGGTGAGCTACAGTCCCAACCCTAGAGCTGCAGCGGCCACAGCTCGTGGCTGAGGCACACGAGGTCATGCTGATGGCCCAAAAACATATGCACATCAGGTGCCTGCGCTGGGATTTCAGTCCCCATCACAGCTTTCTCTAGAAACTGGATGAGTGGCAAAGGAGGTAGGGATGTTTCTTCTTTGGTCAACCAAAGGAAGCAAAATTGGGAGACTTAACAGGAGAGAAAAGACTGCCAATGCACAGCATGTGACGATTTATAAAGCTACCTGAGCAGTAACTGCTAGATTACAAATCAGGAAATCTGCAGTTTCCAACCCCCTCTTTTCTTCCCTTGCATCTGAGGTTTCTTAAGAAAAAAGGAATGCTAAAGTGTCAGCAACAAATTTAGAGCGTCAGGCTTAATGATAGGCTGGCAAGACAAGCTGATGAGTGAACCGCAAACTTCTTCAGTCATATTTCAATCTGAATTTTAGCGAATGACCCCCGCTCCATTTTCTGGAGTTGATGGCCCCATGAACAGCGGGTGTTTTTTAGAACTTTTCAACTCTGGAAGCTTCTTAAAGACACAGAGCTGATGTCAGAGAGACAGAGATGCAGTTACAGCTATGTGCAAGCACCAGCCAGTTTGTTTAGCCATGTCACTGGGAGTGAGTGACTGCCAAAGGAAAACTGCAATCTGAGCTCATCTGGGAACTGGATATAAAAGGAAACAGTCCTTTCCCGGTTCGCACCTCCCACAGACTTCCAACCTCCGTACCATTCACATGCCCTTCCCTTCAGCTGATACACTATGCTGACAGCTACAGCAGCAGATCTCAATTCTAAAAATCATCAGTATAGCATTTCAAGAGACACACACGTCAAAACAAAAAAAACAAACAAGCAAACAACAACAACAAAAAAAAACAGAACAAGGAAAGGAAAAAACCCACACAATAAAATACCTAGGGAAAATCAGGGAGTGAGGAGAAATTTTTCTTCACTTAACTTTACTCAACTTTCTTTGGCTCCAGGCTTTCTTAGACAGAGCTCCTGTTTTTCAGGAGCAGCATCCTAAAGCCTTTTTTAAAAACAAATTAATTCATTTTTACTGTAAAAAAATCTACCCTAGTTTTTGTGCAAATACAATATCCACTTCTCCCTTCTTCAGTGAATATATATTGCATATACTTTTTGAAGCAGAAGTAAATCTATTAAATGACAGCTAATTTATATGAAAATGTTATACCTGTAGTACAACCTTGCATGCAAGCAAGCCTGCATTAATAGCAATTCTCAACATCTTGAGTAGCTTTCAAGAATAAGGTGCACAACATAGACTAGAAGAAATCCAGTGTTCTTTTCTCCATGCAAACTCGGGTTGTGCCAGGATCATTTACCAACCTGATCCCAGCAGAAAGAAGAATGTTAATTGAGACACCTACCGCTGTAGACCCTGAAGATGTGGCTACAAAGACTTTGATCACCATGTTGACAGGGATGAAAACGAATCAGCAGAGCACTCTTGTTATCCACAAGTCACCACAGTCCCAAGAGGAATCCAAGCGTTCGGCAGCTCCTGGGCTAAGCCAGGTCCTAAACGGATGCTCCCTGCTCCCGGCAATCCAGTTCTTCCCGAGGTTCCAGGCTTTCCCACTCTGTTAGCTCTTAAGTATTTTGGGACGAGGGGCCAGCAGAGGATTGGTTAGTAAGAGGAGCCATAGCAAGGGGTTTGCACCTGCCCCTGGCCTTATTGCATTAGATTGACAGGGCAGGCAGTCCAAAAAAGGCAAAGGAGAGTAGTGCACCAATGAGACAGGGCTTGAGAAATATTTGGGAGAGGGGGAAGGGACAAGTGAGAAGGGACAGGGAGCAGGCAACTTAGTGCTGAGGACAATCACAGAGCTTTCGGGCAATGTGTAGCGTTGCGTGGGCACTGTGACAGCTAACTCCCGCACACAGGGCTTGCGCCCTCTCCCCAGCCACAACACGGAGGCATCGGAGTTGTAGCTGCAAATTTTACATTACGAAAGGGGAAGGAGGAAGGGGAGGGCAAGATGGGCACAGATGCAGATGTAATTGCAGCAGAGATCATACTGAAATAAACCTCAGTTTCAAATGCACTCAGCTTTCAAGAATTCAGACCGTTATCCGTACTGTAGGGCTCAGGGACTTCTCTGAAATAAATATGTGTCAGTACTCTTCCTAATATCGAGAACGGTGATTTGGCTGATTCTGTGAATCCAGAATCTATCATTGTATTTTCTCTTTCTTTTTGTATCACCAGGGAAAATTGCCAGGGCACAAGCTTTAAGAGGAGGTCCAGAATACTTGGTAAAAAATATTCCATTTTACTGTGTTATCCAGGATGCTCTTTTTCCCTCTGTCTGTTGCCTTCTACTGCAGAGATAGTCACAATTCAGTGGCTACTTGCACATGTTTGCTTAAGGAGGCCTCTAAGCATGAGAGGTATTTTAAGAATGTTAAATGGTAACAGATTGCTTTTAAATTTTAATGGCCAAGTTTGCTTCTGCTGTAAGGGCTTGGTAAAGATGACCTTCTGTCAGAGGCAAAACCGGCCTAGGTTATTGAAAGTGCTTACACACATTTCAAAACTTATGATTGAATGTAGCAGTGTCCAATCCTGAAAATATCTAAAATGGAATACAACGCTTTCTTTCTAGGATTGATTATGTAGGACCAAATGCATGCTAGTATAGATGCTCTTGAAAGTAAGTTTTTTGTCTGTGCAAACAGAAACATGAAACTGGAAAAGCAGCATTCCATGTATGGAATAGGGATCCTGAAAAACCTCACTGAAAAATAAAAATAACAGTATGGATAGTTCTCACTGTTTACTGTGGCTCACCATCTGTCATTTCTTCTTTTGAGAGGCAACAGGAGGTACAGCAAAAAGAAAAGCCTGTTAGAAATGGGTATGTTCAGAGTATTTTCCTGTAACACAAACAAAACCCCTCCAGACCTTACTGCAAAAACATAAATTACTGCCAGAAGTTATTACATATGCTTGTTTCTCAGGAGATTTTGAAAGTATTGCCTAGTAAATTCAATGCAAATAACTGTCCATTTGGAACTTACTGTTTCCAAATTAATCTATTTGGTTACTAGTGTTCTGAAGAAGCATAAACAAAGGGTGTAGTGGTCATAGCCTTCAAAACATACTGATAAGCCTTGCAAGTACAGCAGTACCAATAATCAATGCTCAAAGTAGAAAATATTTGCACCACCACCAAACATCCACAATCAGGACTGGGACAAAATTGTCAATTAACTCTCTCTGCTGAGAGAGTTAATTTCATATCTGAAATGCCCACAGATCTACTCAGGCTAAAACCAGGATGCGGCCTAAAGCCCACCCAGCGCTTGGCAGGTGAGGACTTCAGGGCACGATTCCCTTTGGAGGAAAAATATTACTCCTGCTGCTTTCATCCCCATGGGATGTTGTGTGTACCCCTCCAGCCTTTCTCAGCATAAAAATGTTCTATATAAACCTGAACTGTGAGTCTGGAGCCCGTTGTGTTTGGCCTGTGCACTCTCAGGGTGCACACCATGCCAAAACGCAAGAGAATCAGAGAATGACAGGATTGCTTAGACTGGAAAAGACCTTTAAGATCATTAAGTCAAATCATTAACCCAACACTGACAAGTTTTCAGTTAAACCATGTCTCTAAGCACTGTGTCTACCCACTCTTAAATACCTCCAGGGACTGAGGCGCCACCACTGCCCTTGGCAACCTCTTCCAACGCCTAGTAACCCTTTCAGTAAAGAAATTATCCCTAATATCCAGTCTAATGTTTCCTTGATACAACTTGAGGCCACTTCCTCTTGTCACTTGGTTGAACAGACCCATCTCCACCTCTCTAAATCCTCCTTTACGATAGCCGTAGAGAGCAATAAGGTCTCCAATACAACGAAAGGTGCCACCACGGCCGCCATAAGGATCCACTGTCTATAGCTCATGGCGCAGAGGAGCCCCGCCACTTGCACACCGCATTGTCTGATTCCTGTTAGAACCCCGGTGGGGAGCAGAAATAAGGGAGTGATAAATATATACACAGACATCTCGGGGGGGCGTGGGCCGAGGGAAAGAAGAGACTACAGTTCCCAGGGTGCCCCGCGGCCGCCGCCTGTCGCCATGGCAACAGCGACTCTGCTGTCGGCCAAGAAGGCTGGTAATGACGGCTGGGGCGATGGGGGAAGATGCTGGGGAGGCCGAGAGGGGACGGGGCAGAGCGGGGTGGGCAGCGGGGCCGGGCGGAGGTAGGGAAGGAGATATGGATGGAAGAGTTTTCCCGAGGTAGAGATTCCCTGCCCAGGGGTGTCCAGAGGCAAGGGGCCACTCTCCTGCTCCGGCGAGGCGGGGCCAGTGGGGTTGAGTGCCAGGGCCTCGAGGTGTCCGTGAGGGTCTGGAGCTGAGTATCGAGGTGCTGAGTTGGCCGGTGGGGCAGGGTGTTGGTGCCAGGGTGGTTTTTGGGGGGGTTGGAGGGTGTTGCAGGCCTTCGAGGCCACTGAGGTGGTTGGGGAGAGCAGGGTGGCTGCTGGGCCCCAGCGGTGCCCTGGGGAGCTCCTCCTCCATGACAGGGGTGGGGGAGCTCTGGCTCGTGTGGGCCACACCAGGGAGCTCCTCTGGGGCCATTGGAAGAGCTCGGAGGCAATTTTGAGGGACCTGGATACATCCGTGTCCTTCCCACGCCAGCAGGTGGGCCCTGGCACCCATCTCAGCCGCCCTGGGGCTGAGGGCTGGGCTCTGAGGCGCAGACACTGCTGGGCCATGTTGGTCTGGCAAGTCAGTGTTCTCTCGCTAGGACCCCCCCATTTCGTTTGCTTGCTCTGCTTTTGCACACAGGCTACAATTAATTCTTCCCTATGACAGTTTTGCAGTTTCTGGATGCTGGAAACGGCATTTTTATCTTTGAGAGAGAGATTTGGCCCTAACTAGTTTTGTTTCTGATCTCTTCCTTCAACATACATTCTCCGTTTGTCCGTTTCAGTCCCCTCTCAGCTACTGCTTCTCTTCAGTTCTCCAGTAATATCTTTCATTTAATTTCTCAGTTTCCTGTCTTTCACCTTCTGCTCTTCTGTCTTTTCTTCTTTTTCGTTTTATTAAATTCTCAACATCTGCTTTTGAAGCTGAATGATGAGGTTCAGCCCACACTTCTCATCAAAACTAATTAAAGCCATAGTTTTAAGTTTCATTTAAGCTAATTTGATTTAAAGACAATTTAGCCAGAAAATGTTGACAGTGCCAAATCAAATTTAAACAGAAATACAAATCTATATACTAAGCTGGCCTTTGCTTATTCCTTATCCTAAGATATGAGTTCTCATCTCTTAGGGTTTACTTCACTGGCTCAAATAGTAGACCCTGGGCATTCCTTGGTCTTCCACAAGGAACAGTTGTTCATGTAAGGGAATGAAGAGTAATGAAACTATTTTGATTTAACCTAGAACATTCTATGCAATCTTAAATTACCCTTTTTAATTTTCTCTGGGAGTTATGTGATTCCCCTCTCCCCTTTAAGAAATTTAATGTAAAATAAAATGCCACCATAAAACAAAAATGCCAACAAAGGAGTTGGGATGTCCTAAGAATATCTTCTAATACTTTTAGTGAAGGCTACTTGTTAAATTCCATCTGGTTATTTTAACCTCTCTCAAATTTCTTTTACATAATTGTTACACCCCTTTTAGACCCCCACAAATATACAACTTATTCTACTACTGGGCAGAATTCTGCATCTATGAAACTATGATCTGAGTAGTCTTCATGTGATATTAAGAAAATTAAATAGATTGAACCGTATCTCAAAAAATAATTTTTACCAGAACCGCAGTGTTTAAATAATGCTGCTGAGTATGAAGTAAGCTGTTCTTCTGCTCTTCACTAGCCTCACTAAGGAAAAAAAAAGAAAAGAAGTGTAACAGATATTCACATAGACATAGAAAATTAGTCAGCGTTCTATAACTTCAGAGTGTCTCTCCCATGTACACTGCAACTTCTGGTTTTGACCATGCGTCACATGATGAATCTGGAAGAACCTTCCCTGAGGAAAGTTACTCAAAAATTATATATCTTCACAAAAGTGTTGCTTTTGACAAAAAAAGCCTTGTTTTGGCCAGCTTAGTCATGGTGTATTATGTAAAATTAATTTATGCTTCAATGGAATGACCCTATATCACAAATATATTCCCTTTATGTAAATGTTAGCAGTAAAGAATCTTTTAATGTCTGCACGTTTACATATCTAGACCCACACTTTCTTAAATCCCACCATGTCATGTCAAAAAATGAGTGTAAAACTAATGACCCTTTTCCTTCTGAGCTTCAAAATTTCATCTAGATCTACCAATTCTACAAGAAGCAAATCAACAAAAAATAACAAAAGGAACCACTATATTATCTCTTCTATTATGTAAGTCACATGCTGCTGTCATGAAGTCATACCGGCATGAAACTAGCAGACCAGAAAGAATAAGTAGCAAAATTATTGTTAGTGGCTACTAAAGTAGCATTAATGGCTACTGAATTATCATTAGTGGCTACTGGCCATGTTACATATTTTAACTGGTTGCTTTTGCTTGTTCATGGCTACTTGAAATGATTCGTTTCCCAGGAACACAACTATAATCTGCATTTTCACCCTCTGTAGACGAGTATAGATTTTGCAATAGTGTTGTCTTTTGCAAGTAGATATTTTCCGCTTTATTTTACATCGTCTCATTCTATTCTGGCAAAATAAAGTAGTAACGCAGTGGCTGTTCTCATTTCGCAAACACTTGTTTGAGAATTTGTGGCCACATTGTAGTCTCCCTGCAATGGAATCGTGTTACAGAGAACATGCAGGTTTGATGCTTGTGTACCTTCCATGTGCTTTAGTTTTTATCTCTGGTAAGGTTTTTTTCGCAGCACCTGTTAATTTGCTCAGTGCAGAAGGTCTTGAGTGTGTCTGACTGCTGTAATTTCTTCTCTGTCTATTTGAACCTCCATGATACTCCTTCTTAATCCATTTGGAACATATGTAAAAAAAAAATAACTGCCCTGCCCAAATCATAGTCTCTCCTCTTTTGATTCCCAGTCTCAGATTGTTTCTATCCTTTCGCTATCATGTTGAATTTCTTCAGACTGTCTGTTCTCTCTGTGTGGCTTCCATGAGCAAGGTCCTACCAGCTTGTCCCTCCCCTCTTTCTCACCTCTGTCAGCAGGGCCGTCCGAACAAAAACCGTCCAGTTTGCATCCTGAAACAATGGAGCAGATGGGGTAGTTCAGGAATAAGAGCAAAGGACAGACACAACTGGACACCTGCCAGATGGTTTGATGTTGCTTCCCACCTGCAATGGGCTGTTCTAGTTGTGGCCTGCTCCTGTAAAGTGTTTGTATGCAGAAGACCCATTGGATTCAACAGAAGTGCTCGAAATGTTCCGTCCTTTTCTTCTGGTGTTTTTTGGTTTAGGTCTATTTCATCCATAAAATGTTATGTGGTCTATAAACTGTAATAATAACCTTCTAGCAAAGTACTACCTGAAATGTCCTGAGAGCTACAGTGAAACTGAATACGTGCCTGAAAAAGGGGATCACGCTCAGATTTACAGTCTTGACTATTTTCAAAATCTAATTATGTTACAGGAGAGGAAAATGAGAGTAATTCACTCAGAATGCTGGCCATAAAGAAAGTCAAATGGCAGTAACACACTTAGAATGCTAGCCCATAAAGATTTATTTCAATTTCTACACAGAAACAGTGTACACAAGTGCATAACTATTCCATACTAATAAGCGTGTAAGGTTTAAAAAGGTAGTTCCATTAAAAGCTGACTTGAAAATTCTAGAAAGCTGGTTAGAAATCCTAGCTACAGAGAAATTCAACCACGTACTATTGTGATAACCTTAGGTTTTGAGTTCTTGCAGACCTGTGGATTACTGTTGTTTTTTCAGATCACACCCCATTCAAGGTGTAGGTCGTCCCTCTTGAGAATCTTTCTAAGTGGGTTGAATTTAGTTCTTTGGTCCCCAGATCATGCAAACATCAGTGAACTGCATGATTTACAGAGAGAAAAAATATTTCCATTGATACTGGAGTAACATGTTAACATAAACATACTTTTCTAAATTGCTTCAGAAGACACCAGCTGTGTAGTTACCCTTATTAATGGAAAGTGAGCGCGATGGCTCTTTCAAATGAAAGGGGCTTCAGAGAACAAAAGGAGGGAACCCTGACCTCCTATAGACCTACTTAGCTGTGGCCCAGTGCAGCCACATAAGTGCATGCACAGAGATATAACATCTTTAATGGATTTATCTGTGAAATACTTGGACATTGGAGTCCTAGTATAGGTCTTGGTAAGTCTGTCAAATATTCCACAGTTAAGCAGCTTAGCTGAGCAGTTATCTGAGCTTGTGTGAGCAGTAGAGAAATTCAGTAGAGACATTCAGTGATTTTGCTGCCTGAAGTGATTGCTATATATCAATGCCGGTTTACTTTGGTCTGAATGCAGGAGGAAAACAATTGCCAGCAGAGAAGACACCACGTCAATATTCTTCATTTTTAAGCCTGCAGAGTAGTATGATGTCCCAGAAAAAAAATACAATGGCTCTGCAAATCTCTTCAGCAGGACTTGACAGAATTAAAGAGCTGAAGAATGAAATATTTGAGTTACGACAAAAAGTAGAAGCATCAAGCTTAGAAAACCACGTTTTGAAACAGTTTCAGCGTCGACACTCAAAAGCAATAGGTAGATATGAAAGTTCAGAAAGCAAATTGACGAATCTCTTAGCAGGTCATTATAATGAGGTGAGAACTTTAAGGAAACTCCTGAGGATGTCTCAGGAGGATGAGAAAAAAACATCCAGGAAGCTCAAAAAAGTTGAAGCAGAGCTGCTTAAAGCTAAAGACGCTTTGCAGACCTTGCACGTGCTTTCAGAAAACAAAGCTCTTGCAGAGAGAGAAGAACTTGACCACCGATTATCAGTCCTTACAGAAAAAATAGAAGTCAATGATAAGAGAATACAGGTAAAAATTGCATATCATTGTATTTTTGAAACTATAACAGGAGAGGATCCTGTGAAAGCATAGTGGAAAGTTTTTAGCTGCTTCTTGTCATATCGATGATTCCGATACAGTCCGGTAACACTGAACGTTCTTTGTAACCCAGTGCTGTCCTGAGTGTAAGGGACTAGAAATGGTAGTAGTACCCCCTTCCAGGATTTTAAAATCCACCAGAAGTGTATGAGTGGATTTAGTTTGGCAATAAACATCTCTGAGGAGTTAAGTTGTATGCCTTAGCCCTGTTAGGTCAGAAGCATAGCATAGAGCTGGAGAACCATCTTCAGCAGAGCATCCACTCTGCTCTCTGCCAGCAGAGTGGGGTACCCAGGCTAGCTTGGCCCATCCAGCCACACCAGCATGGATCCTAATTTACCTTGGCAAAGTGTGGGATCAGTCATACACGGAGAACACCAGGCTGCTGCTGATCCACTTCCTTCAGCAACCGAAGCTGGGGTATGTGGAACAGGCACGGTTATTTTTACGTGGTGCTGGTGGGCAGTAGGGACGTACCTACATCTCCTGCATCTCCTGCTCCCTGATCACTGTCAGTCTGGGCTGTAGGGTGGCTCCTGAATTAAGCTGTAGTCAGGTGTCCGAGGTTTTAGGGTTGGTTCTACTGTTGATTTATTGCGTAGCTGTAGTAAAAGCCTGGTGAGGGTTTAAGAGGAGATAATTCAGGTCCCTTATAGCATCTCATGCTTCTTTATTCTTATTGAACCTTTCATGAAAAGACAGGAATACAATTTTTTAATACAAAACTGAAAAAATGAAGTTTCCATTGTCCTCCAGGAATTAATTTGCATTTTCTGTGGGGTATATTATGCACAGAATTAAATAAAAAGCCACGCAGTCTTAGAGGCATTCCACAATCTGAACAGCTAGCTCTGAAGTACACTTATTACATGAAAGAGAATGAAAATATAAAGAGCTGGATTCAGACTCTCTTTTGAAAACTTTCTATTTACAGAAGTCCTAGTGAGATGCTATAAAAAGCATGCAGGGTTGGGTGTCCACCTTACAGTTTTAGTAACTATAATTTCAGTGCGTGGCACTGCGTTCTGATGATGAAGTACTCAATAAATTACTGAGCTTTCATTTACACTAAGCCTCTCAGTGTGAACAGAAGCATTGTCTTAACATTTCTTAAAGATGACTTTATTCATTAATCCATCAGAAAGGTAATGTACATCCTTATTTTTTATGTTTATGTTACATACTTCTCTTGTTTAGTAAAATTAGGTTTTAAACCAGTTTTTGCTCAATTTAAAGTAATTTTTCAGATTCTTCATGCTGATTTAATGCATTGTTTACAATACAATATAATTATTAGAAACTTACTTTTCATTATATGAGAATGCTTATTTTTTAAATCTGGTAAGAATTGCAAATTTTCAACAGTCATACTGAGTATATCGATACGGTAAAATATGTAATTTTTTTAAGAACCTAGAAAAGCAAGTGAAATTGAACAACAGAACCTTTAGTCGTCAGCTGGCAAATGAGAACAAAAAAGCTATGGAAGCTGGGATAATTACAAAGAACTTGCAAATGGAGATTAATGCTCTTCACCAAAAAATTAAGGTATTCAAGTTTTTAAACAGTTTCCTGTTCCTACAAGAACATTCAAGTATTTAGGTTACCTATTCCTTTTGCCACTTGTATATTATTTAGTAATCAAATTTTTGTCCCCTAATTGAGTCTATAGTCTACCAAAACCAGTCAAAGTATCAAATGATGAAATCACTGTAGGGTCTATTTGTCAAAAGTTTGAAGTAATTTGATAAGTAATTGAAACAGAGATTAATGTGTCACAATTTGAACAAATAATCCACACCAGCTTTTTACCATTTTAATAAATCTAGGTCCATATATTCATCTGCTCACTTTAAATGAGCTTCCTTACAGAAACACTTCAAAATGAGTCAGATATTACAATCTGCAAAACTAGAGTTTAACAGAAAGGCTTATGTAAATGTTTCAATAGTTTGTTTAAATTCTGGCTTGGTTTTTGGTCAAATATTTTTGGGACAAATACATCCAGTTCAACACTTATCGTAATGCTTGTAAACCAAACATACAGGAAAACCTACATGTGACACCAAATAGAAACAAGACTGCCATGAATGGTATGCCACATGAGTTATAAACAAGGAAACCAGCACATATTCCAGAAAACGTGAAAACCCGTGTGGCTTTTTAATAATTTACACTATGTTTGTAAAACAATTAAATTATACTCCTTTTTTATTTCTGTCTAAAGTGACCAATCCATCTGTTGATCCTGCTAGGGAGCTTCTCTTTCTAAATACCAATCAATTGTCTTTCTGTGAAAGATGTTGTTATGGGGAGTTTTCCCAGATGTTGTGAAGGGCAGAACAGGCAGCCCCTGAGGATTCATGGAGATGCGCCTTTCTGTACAGGGGCATTGTTTGTCCCTATGTATCAGGTGCAGAAACTTTCCTCCTGATGCTTGGCAGCAGCCAGGCTGCCCAGCAGCAAAAGCCCAGTGAGCCATATCAAAGTCCCAGGCCCCATATCAAAGTCCCCCGAACAGCACTTGCAGAGCTATTTCCCTGCTGGAGACCGATCTCCTGCTGTATGTGCAAATCCGAGAGATGGGAACAATTATAGTCCCAGGAACAGCAAGGTAAAACTGTTGCAAAATGCACATTATTCTGAAGTAGACTTCTCTACCTTAATGCTTTTCTAAAATGTTTCTATTATTTCATGTTCTTTCCACACAGTTTGCTGTGTGCATCCAGTTCTCTTAATGTTGTATTTAGATTCACAAAATCTTCTATTTTTTTTTTACCACAAAGAAGACCAGACATGCCTAGTAACCTTATTTCTGTGCCAGGACAGACTTTATTCTTACACAATCGTAGTTTTGGGCACTTGTCTTACTCAGACCATTTGAGGGAGTCAGACACACTTTCAGGACAACCTGTATCTTCAGAGTAAAAACAGGTCTGATTTTTCACACAAAAACAGATATGGTGAGAGTGTTACTGAAATTTCTCTTCTGTGTTTAGGATAGATTTCAGTGAGGGAAGAGTATTCTTGCTAAGTAAGTTTTAAAAGTGCCTCTGAAATTTATTTCCTCTCCCAAACAAAAAGTTGTAGACCAGAACTGAGTGCATTATAACCAAGGGCACCGAATAAAAATTCTGTTTTTGAAAACGGTGTAAAGCCAAAAAGTACTTAGTCTGAAAAAACCCCTCAGAACAACAAATGAAAAAATCATTAGAGAAGACTTTGTCATTTGAACACTGTGTTATGAAAAAGTTCCGAAGGTGTACAGATGCGTTCTTAGCCTTAAAAAGTGAGAATTTTTATTTGACTTGTGAAAGAAAAATAATAATTCTTATCTATGTAAACAACAAGGTCACCATATCAGCCTGGTGCAAAGCAAAATCACTGACAGTTTTCTCCCAACATGGGAGAATTAAGTTGGTAAAAAATAATTTTTAATGCATATTAGAAGTTTAATAATGTTTATTTTTTCATAGGAAAAGGATCGGCAACTTTATATAAAATATATATATGCAAATTGGATGCCTAAAATACCAGAAGACAAAAATGGTTCAGTACCTCAAGAAAAAAGTACGTGTATATTCATTTTCCTTTTTTGTTTAGTTATGTGAAGCTTACGTTGCTTTATAACTGGGAGGTATATTCCAAAATAAAAGCCAATACATTACTTTTATACAGGCTAAAAGTATGCTGTCACATTTAATTTAGAATGAAGTGATTGGGGTTTTGCTCATTTATTTTATGAATACAAATAGATTACTTGGTTTTAATATTTAATCAAATTTTTGTAATGAATACCATTTATCATACATATTTTAGTGTACTAACAGTGACTGTTTTAAGTGTCTATTTGCATCAAGATCAGTTGACCTATTTGGTTTTTAACAAGGGGAAGCAATTGGTCCACAAAGCTTTTGCAGCCTAATTTTTGTTCAGGCTTTTCACTTTGACTTGGCCTGGAGAAGCGGCCACCCTTGGGCTAAAATTCCCACAGCATGGCTCACCAAGTCAAAGCACCTCGCAAACAAGTTGCTGCCTCCTGTAGCAAGTTCCTAGTTTTAGCACACGCTTTCAAAGTGCATTTACATGAGCAAAAATAATGAATTTAATCAGGTCTTCTCATCTTTAAAATCCTTAGACCCTGTAACTTACAAGTAGCTTCAGTGTCCATTATGGAAGCTCCTGCAACTTGCATTTTGTTGAAGTGAAAAGGGAAGAGGATATGGTTTTAGATATGTCGTGGGTTAGGGCTGGGACAGCCACTAAGTGGGGACAGGCGCTCCCTAACCCCCTCTCCCCGCCCCAAATCGGGAAGGAAAACGGAATGAGGCAGAGAGACTTACAGGTTAGAGAAGAAAAACTAGAACAGCTTTAATGAAACAGTAATGGAAATAATAGTGAAATGATAAAAAATAAAGAACTGTATACAATTATATATAAGCTTGATATTGAATCCCCCCTGATGCTGCAGAGCAGGCAGCACTGGGGCAGCCCCAGGCTTAGCCACGGCAAGAACTGGGTACAGGGAGCTGGATTCGGGAACCCAGGATCCGGATCAAAAGCAGGAGATCGGACAGAGTCCTCCCTGGACATTGGCCATTGCAGAAAAGGGCAAGAAACTCTCATGATCACTCAATTTATACTAAATATGACCTATATGGAATGGAATACTCTTGCTGGTCGCCTGTCCTGTCTATTACCCCCTGGAGGTGCAACTTTTTACTTCCTTGTGACCCCTCTTACTACCCGGCACCCCCAGCATGGCACACAAGAGCCAGCAGTGGCCTTGGTCACTGTAGGAATAAGTATCAGCCAGAGCCTTTCTGCATCCCAGTCCCAGGCAGTAACTGCAAACATCAGGTGTTATCACTGCCAGTAGCACACACTGTCTGCAAAAACATGCTGCTGACTTCAGAAAGTGCAGCCTCTTAGAAGAGACTAAACTGGAAAGTAAAAATCACTAAACAGCATTGGGGACAAGATAATAAGGTTTATGACGTTTAAAGGCCAGTCTGATGATCACCCTGTCAGCTTATCTGAGAGAAGAGAATGTTTAACCTTAATAGTCCTTTCGGTTTTGGTGTAATAAATTTAAATGAGTGACCAGATATCATAATAACCCTGTAATTGTGTATTCCTTCAGTTCATTCTATCGACAGAACTTGTTATGGTAATACAGTAGAATGATAGAAAAGAGCAATAGGAAGTTAATTCTATCAAGGAAGAGGGAGCTCTTGAGTAAAGAGCATTTCTTTCACATGGATGCTCAGACAGGTAGTGGAGAAAAATATCTGTTATTTGCAATCTTGTCTAGCAAACATTCCAAGAGCAGCTGCCCTGTGTGGGAGTCAACTGCCTAATTATAGGCATCTGGTGCCGTTTGAGATGTCCCAGCACATTCTGCCTGGCCCTGTAGTTGTTGTTCCGGAAGGACGTGGGCATGCTATCAGTCCTGTGTAATATTGGCCAGTCTTATGTGGATACCTTGAATGCTCAAGTGCATCTCAAGTAGCATGAGGCGCCTGTGCTCAGACAAGTGGATGCCACCCCTTGAACGGAGGGAGCAACAACTAAAAATGATTACAGATCATACAAACCAAGAACTGTTATGTTGCCCACGTGCTCACTATATTCATCAGGGACAAAAATCATTTTCTTGTAGCACTTAAAAATTTCTAATTGTCATATGCTTTACATGTAGTATCTAGAATTTATGAATGAATGTGGTTTATGCAAAAATTAACAAATTTCAAGTATTTTTATTTTGCTTCCTACTCAGGATCATAAACATTCTGTCAATACCCTGAAGGAGAGCTTTCTGCTCAACACGCACCCTTAGCTGTGGATAATTATTCAAACATCAGCTTTCCTGGCTTAAGCACCTCTTTAAAATAATGGTCAAATATTCCTGCTCCTAAACTGAACGAGGAATTAGAACTTTCTTCATAGAGGGAGAGAAGAGCACTTAAAATTGACATGGTAACAAACATATCTACTGGAAATATTGCACAGGCCCACAGAACTCTTCAGATTATGGGATCAGCACAAAGTCTTACCACAGTCAGCTGTTTCTTTCTTTCGTCTTCATTGCCTTTGCAAATCCATTACTCTGCCTTAACTACAACTGAACTACTGGGAAAAGGCTCATAATTCAAGCTGGAAGATTAAGAAACACAAATTCCTACTTCTCATTCCAAGCCAGACAACTTTTTTTATGAAGCTCTGAATTCCAGTTTTAGTTGTCATATAACAAGCTGTATACTTACATATTGTTACTTACACTATTTAAATCACTCTTAAATATTTAAGTTCTTCTTATCATTAAGCGAGATAAGGAAGTTTAGTTGGAGTGAGACCTGATATTTTATGATGAAAAGATTCCAGGCAAAGTTGTCTGATCTTCTGGTATTTTTGGCCAACAAAGGTTTCTTTCTCTGCCAGCTAATGATGAAAACAGATGATTTAGAAATATAGAACTGGAATTACTGAGACTTGTTTTTCCTTTTGCTATTGACTTGAATTTTCCTGTAACACGCTTACAAAGAGCTACTTCTTCAAGCAGTTATCTTCTGTTCGGCGTTTGCAAAAATGTTTACCCAGCAGTAGGGAAAAAAATAAACACAGGGCTGCATTTTTTCACACTCCTGATAAATAGCTGAAGGCCGGCTTGCTTAGGTTATCAGAAAGCATTATATACATAAATAAAATTGATGTCTTGAATGAAGCCATTCATTTCATAAGCCCTTTCCGAGACCAAAGTTTGCTCAGTCGTGAGGTCACACCAGCTCACCTGGAGGTACAGCTCCCCCTAGTTCTGAATGTGAGGAACGCTCTGCTGATTCTTGTTGGAAAAGCTGCTGAAGTAACTGCTTGCTGGTTGCTTTTCAAAAGGGAAAACTAATTTCCTCCACATCATCAAAGTCATTCCCTCAAGTGTAATCCTCAGACTGGTTATCAACACTCTTTTTACCACCAAACTGCAAACATTTGAAAATCACCGTTTTCATTGAGAGTCTTCCTCTGATTTCAGAGATTAGAGCTGGGAGCAAGGTTGAGCTTTGAAATAGGCAAGATCACATTTTTACTGCTGTGCTAGCAACATTCTCAGCTACTGTACTCATTTCAAAATTATTCTTAAAATAGAATAAAAGGACAATATACTTACCTTCCCCATCCCATCTCTCTTCAGCTATTTCTTTAAATGTCTCATTCAAACACTGTCTTGGAATCTCTTTTCAAAGATCATAGATATTTCAAACAGCATTAAATATTTCCTCTGAACAGTTTGGTTCCATAAACCCTTACATAACTGCTTAACTTTGAGAAAGGTGAGTAACCAAGTCAGAAGGCATAGAAACAAGCATGTTTATTATAATCTGTAAGATCCAAATTTAGGAACCTGAAAGCTGAGGCCTCATGCCAGGCCTCTCAAATCTACATTAGAATTAAACCTGTGTGGTCTCTAGGGTGTAGACACATTTGTCTGACTTATGTTTCTTATCTGAACAGGACTCTGTAGATCTAAAACTTAAGGGGATTTATGATGCACTGAGGTATGGATGAAAACACTCAAAAGTCAAGGTAGCTATGTTCGTGTTCCAGTTTCAGCATTTATAGATCAGGCAGAACAAAGAATTTCTTTATTAAAGGGCATTAAGACATAAGCAAAAAAATATGTTTAAATCCTAGGCCACATACCAGTATTATCAGTCATCAAAGATATCTTTTGTTCATACCAACAGTGTAATTCCAGAAGCTACTGCATTACTAACAATTGTCCTTTTTCAATAGGTCTAAGTATAAACACATCAGTTCAAGTAGATAGAGAGAGTTTTAGATCCCTGCTGCTGTCACAGTACCAAACTCAGGAGACAGAAAAAAGTCCAGTTCCACTAATAAAGGTATGAAAGATACAGATCCAATCCCTTGTTTAAACTCTCAGCTAAGCTGTATGTTATTCCCTGAGTTTCAGCAATATGCCTGAATTGCCTGATCCATCATCTTGACTTTCAAGGATGTGGCTTTTGTATGAACGTAATTATATTACAGAAAATATGTAAGATAAACACTGTGATGAAAAATAAGAATATACTGCTAATAGAAATCACAAATCTTTTTATAAGTATTCCCCTGTATTTTAATAGTTACTATTTCAGTATTCCTCATTATTTTTACCTTTAATTGCCATTTATAGGAGAAAAAGTTTTCAGAAGATAAGAATGAAGAAGTCGAAGAAAAGGAAGCATATGCAGATGGCCAGTGTAGAACAGAAATGCCATCAACAAATGAACTACCAAAGCCAGAAACTTCTAATAGAATACACAGAGGTATGTTTTAACATTTTTCTCAGAAACTCTTCTGATCTTTTAAAAAGTTGAATGAACTGACAGTGTTGGTAATTTACACGGGTCTGAGAGCCATCAGCTGACACCTCTCTGGCAAGAGCTAGTTCAACAAGGTAATTTATTAAGAGCTGCTGAAATCCAGCTGCGCTGACAGCAGAGCAGCTCCACAGATTTAAGGCATATTCATGCTGCAGTACTTCTAAAAGCAGTACCTGGTCATGTTAATAAAATGTCAGTGCTTTGTCTCTAAAAGTATACTTTAGTTGATAGCTTGTTAATTCCACACTAGTCAGACGCCAATCTCGAATTGTTGGCTGTGAATCTTCATCATAGCTGATGTCAACATGTATTTCCTGCTCAGGATCTATTGCTGAGACAGGAGCTCCTCAAGGGCTGGGAGTATCTCCTCATTAAAATGATCACTGTAAACAGACTTTATGTAAATCTTAGTCACTGACTGTGTTCTCATATAGAAGTTACATGCAAGGGACTCATCTATAAACACCTTTATTGTGAAGAATTTTTATAGAACAGGAGAAAGAAGGAGCTAGTGCATTTATTCCTTTATCTCAGTTTTTCTTTCTAAAAATATTCACATTAATTTCATTACAGTAAGGCTTGTAGAAAGAACCGAGATCTGGATGCCATCACACTAGATACTTCACAAGTGGTAGGAGACATTACATGACCTAAAAGATCACACATTTACAGAGATGAAACAATCACTTACTAGATCAGCAACAGAGCTAGTAATCTGGAATGCCTTAACTCCTGTGTTTTGTACTCTCCCCCACAGCCCGCAGCGTTACCAGACCCCAACAGATAACCAAAGTCACCATTGGTCTTTGAAATCCCCTTCTAAAATTGACAGAAAACACAGGTCTTCTGATTCTGCCTGTGAAGCTCTCTCCTAACTGTTTGCCAAGCTCTCTTCCAGCCCCCTCCCACCACTTACTTCCTGAAGTTTCATTTAGGTATTTTATTTACTGCAACTTCATACTTCTCCTTTAAGCTTGGACTCTGTCTCATTTTAGAGGTACTCGGTGAGTCTCTCCAAAGCACAGAACCTATTACAATTTGTTGCCTGCAGCAGAAATGAATTTACTGTAGGCATTCAGTACACACATACATTTTTCTACTAAAAAGCAGGGCTAACTCATTTATAGGTTAGAGAGTTGCAGTATGTTCTGCTCCATGCAACAAACAACTGTGTTGTCAAGGGAAATAAAATCATACATATATGTAGGTTCCATTCAAAAGCAAGAAAATTACAGTTAGAGGTCAGATCTCGTGTGGTTTCTCTGTAGCACTGTACATGACTTTTCTGGCCCTATATTTTGCCATTCTGGATTATATTTGCATGCTAATTCATTTAACAAAATGAAATATAATCTCATTTAAAAAATGTATGCAGTGTTAAAATAATCTTGTTTAAATCTTGCCCCATCCTATTATATGTTAGTGAATAGCATTGTCATAACCGTCAAGATGGAAATACCATCAATAACAACTTAAGCAATTGAAATAACAAAGTGAAATTTGCTTAATGCTTTATGTTCCTAGGCAATTTAAGAACATACTTAAACCCCACAATATTTCATTTTAGAGTATTTAATGGAGAGCAGACTACTGATGGAGGAATACCCTTGTCTGGAATTTATGAAAGAAGAAGAAAATGAGGCAGACTTGCTTAAACAAGAGATGAAAAAAAAGATTAAAACTGAAGAAACTCCACCGAGTGACAGCGTGAAAGAGAAAAATCAAGAGGAAGACAACAATCCAGAGAAAGATACAGTGGAAGAATATGAACAAGAAGAGAAAAAGGCACCTGAACAGTTAATGGAATACCCTTGTCTGGAATTTATGAAAGAAGAAGAAAATGAGGCAGACTGGCTTAAACAAGAGATGAAAAAAAAGATTAAAACTGAAGAAACTCCACCGAGTGACAGTGTGAAAGAGAAAAATCAAGAGGAAGACAACAATCCAGAGAAAGATACAGTGGAAGAATATGAACAAGAAGAGAAAAAGGCACCTGAACAGTTAATGGAATACCCTTGTCTGGAATTTATGAAAGAAGAAGAAAATGAGGCAGACTGGCTTAAACAAGAGATGAAAAAAAAGATTAAAACTGAAGAAACTCCACTGAGTGACAGCGTGAAAGAGAACAATCAAGAGGAAGACAATAATCCAGAGAAAGATACAGTGGAAGAATATGAACAAGAAGAGAAAAAGGCACTTGAACAGTTAAATAAAAGTGAGGAGCCAGAAAGTAAATGTGTAACTCCAGGTCCAAGTAAGGAAACAACCAGTGGGGTGCAAAAACCCTCCATGTTCTCAGAGGTCATTGAGAATTTGCATCATGGGCTTCCTACGTCGGGTACAAACCCCGCAAAAGGCAGTCTTTGCAACCGCAGACGTGCAGGTCAGGACTCGAGTGAAACAGCTGAATCAAAAGTGAAAAATTCCTCTGGGCTGTATGAACCGTCTTTTGGTAAAGTTACCAAAACAAGGCAGAAGGACACCTCCACCGAAGCGGAAGGCTGCACTCATATGACATGTGCTGGAAGCAAAAAGTCTTATGAAAGAACTCTTCGGATCAGGCAGTGTTTGAAGAGACCGCCATTCAAGTTCTAACATGACAGGAGGGAAGAAAGAAGCAAAAGGAGGTGAGATTACATGAGCCAAATTTCAAGCCACCTTTGCTGGTTCGTAATGCAAACCATCTAACACTAACGAAATTGTTATGAATAACCTTGTGAGAATACACAAAGTAATTATTCTGTCTGATAGTTGAGTGCATCAACTTGCCTTTACTGATACAATGTTTTTACTTTCATTAAACAACTACTAAATCTTACAAGTACTGAAATTTTCTTTCAATGACTTTTCCAGAATGATAGTCAAATCAGTCAAAAGATCATTCTTCTGTTCTTGGTCTGTGTGCACACATGTGGGTGCCTACATATCTTACTAAGAGTGCCTTAATAATTACGACATTTTTACCTGTTACGGGGTGTCCAGGTTAGTCCTTGTTTCGGAATCTCCATTTTTTTGCATTCTCTCTGGTTTGTATTTGGAAGCTGATTATTCGTTAGCTAGCTGAGGTGAGCAATGTGCTTTCACAACGTTCGTTACTGGTCTAGTGCCAACAATGCAATAAAAGAAAATAATTTATTTTCTTCGCTCCTGAAGCAGCTTCCAGAATTCACACATAATAAAAATAATTTGCTATTACATTGTTTTCACTAGCATTATAAAGCTCTAAAGCTTCATTCTTTTCCACTGTTAGAATTTATCAAAGCAGCTTGCCTGGTAACTTCCACAGCTGACATCCAAAGATGAATGTGCAAGAGTAAACTATTGTTTTGGAGAAGTCAGGCATATCCAGTTCTCAAAAAGCCTTTAAAAATCCTGTGTTTAAGGTTATGTAAGCAAGAGTAGGAGGATTATGTTTCGTTCCTCATAGTAATTGATGAAATGCTTGCTAAAATGATGTGAAGTCCGGGAAAATTATGTGTATTCTACTAATTTCCAAAGGCAGCAGCACTTTAAAAAAAAAACCTTCAAAAATTGTACTGCAAAAGCTTTCAAAGGCGATTAAGACATTTAGATCTGAGCCTAGGTGCAGCGTATTTCTTTGCAAAGTTTCAAAAGTTTTTCTTGAAGCAGTGCTTAAGCCGTAGAGCGGACGGGTTTCAAAGCATGACTTTGTACCATTAGAAAAGTAGGTGTTTCGCCTGTACCAAAGATTAACACTTCTCCAACGCCTTTACTACTGCCCCAAAGCTAAAAGCAAACAAGCTGACACCAGCCAATGCTCCTGCTTGTGCTCACTGGGCAACCAAAAGCCTTTTTGCCCTTCTTCACCCAAATGTTTGACTAGAGCAGCCAACGAGCTGTAGATGTGATGATCCTGTGCTGTGTGGATAAACAGCAACCGAACATTTTAAACGATGCTGCTTTTCTTGGCTTTGCTGTGTTAAACACCATAACAAGCTAAGTAGAAATATCATTCACCATATCTTTAGAATCAGAAATATGTCAACGTCGTAGTAAAATAATCTGTCGCAAATACTTAAGAAAAAAGAATTAAAAAATTAGTCCTGCTGATTCCAACAGTATTTCCTTATGCGAGAACACAGCAGTGTTGGTATTGGTTAGTTTTTTTTCTTTTTAGGAAAACTGTAATTAACATTGAAAAATGGATTAGAACACCTGGGATGTGTTGAAAAGCTTTGTTTTGTTAATAAAACCACAATAATACATAACATTCACTCACAACATTTTTTTTCTTGATATTTAATGCATCTATTTTCATGTTGGGAAATGTAATCCTTAATATAAAAACAATGGGTTTTTTTAAATAACATTAAAAAAAACACCCTCCAAACATTTCATGCATATATACACACAATATATCATGATCTTTTGAACTGATTTCTAAACGCAGTGCTAGTTACAGAGGGGCCCTAGTCTCTTCCTTCCTGCAGGAAGGCAAAGGACAGACACATTCCACTGTACAGAGAGCGAAGCTGAAACAGAATCACCAAAGCCCAGCAGAAAAGGGGAAACTGTCCCCTAGAGCTTTGTTCAGGCTCATAAAAAGAAAAACAAAAACAAAAAAAAAGGAAGCAGAAGAAAAGAGAAGGTATGGAACGAGAACTTTCTCAATCCACCCATTTGTCTTATAGGGCAAAACCAACAGGGCTGCAGCTCACTGTAGGACAGAAAGTAATGAGATAATGTGACTTTGTCACCGTTCTCCTGGTACTGTTACTAGGAAGAATTCTGTCCTCCTTTAAATTTGTAATATAGTGGCTGTTTCTTGTACGTAATTACAGGAAGAAGCATTTACTCTGAAACAGAAAATTTCCCTCCTCCTCCTTCTGCCTGCTACCATTCCAGTACTGCTTCAGACATGTAAATCACTTATTTGACCTTTTACATTTACGTAGCTGTTTCAGGCCGTCCTGGGCTGTCATTAAAATATGCTAAGGCCCCTAGAGATGTAGTCCTCTGAAGAAACAGCACTGTCTTCTACTTTCTCTTTATTAACAGGGTGCTTGAGAAGGTTGGCCAGACCTTTTCTCCCAAAACATGGAAGGAAATAGTTTCTGTCATCCTCACTCAGTTGGGGAAGCAGAAAAAATGTCAAGGAAGGAAAGGTCTGTTACCAATACAAGTAAAAGCTGAAGTGTTCTGTGAGTTTTAAAAATCAAAGAGTAAAAAGGATCCAGCTGTCTGGTATTTGGCAACTAAATCTCTTAAGAGGTAAAAAGCTGATTCTTCACACATATCAATAACACATTTTCTAAGACAGCCCAAGAATACACTAATTCTATTGTAAAAATTAACAAGGTGGAAATTAATTCTGTTTTACCCTAATCCAACCAAACCACCTACCTCTAGCACCACTTGTCACCAAATGAGCCTCCTTTGGATGAAACTATCACATTACACAAATCCGACACTTGCAGAATATTTTGGTGAATATATGCCGTGACGGAATCTTATGGTTCTGCTATGAATCGGTGTTCATACTTGTTGAAATAGACACAAAATGAGGTTCTATAAACAGCAACACTATTCTTTGAAAATACCAAACTTAAAAACAAACTGAGGAGAGCCAAAACAAATCAAAAGGAATACTGATACCCAAATGAAGTAACAAATATTATCTCAGACCTAGTCTCATGAAAGACAACTGTTTCTTATTTGGTTTCATTCATTTAAAATAGTGATAATAAAAATGTAGTTGAGGAGTCCATGGACTACTGGGGTTTCCTTCAGCTGAAAGGGTGTAGCATGATAGCTACAACTTTATTACAAACCACAAGCCAACATGTAATTCCAACACCACCTGGAAGAGATATAAAACACAATTTAAGTCATTGCATCAGTAACCCTTAAGCACATGTGTCTGAAAACAACTTTGGATGTGTAAAAAAAATGAAACTTAAACGAGTTATAAGGTGAACAGAAAAAAAACATCTTTCTTTTCATATACAAGTCTCTCTCTTCAAAGGACAGACACTAATTCCACTTTGGACCTGAGAAAACTTGAAGAGTGTCTGGTGAAAAGAAGTACCAAATAACACGAATAGGAGCGTGGTATATACAACCCACAGCTAAAAACATCTGCTACATACCTAACAGGAAGGTGCTGAAGTTAAAATCTTGGCAAATAGCAGAACACTTTCAGGGGCTGGAGCAGCTCTGCTACGAGGACAGGCTGCGGGAGCTGGGACTGTTCAGCCTGGAGAAGAGATGACTTCGGGGGCACCTAACAGCTGCCTTCCAGTACCTGAAGGGAACCTACAGGAAGGCTGGGGAGGGACTTTTTACAAGAGTGTCCACTGATAGGACAAGGGGAAATGGGTTTAAGATGAAGGAGAATAGATGTAGATTGGGTCTTAGAAAGAAACTCTTCAGTACGAGGGTGGCAAGACTTTGGAATAAATTGTCCAAGGAAGTTGTGGCTGCCCCCTCCCTGGAGGTGTTCAAGGCCAAGTTGGACAGAGCCTTGGGTAGCCTGATCTAGTTGAGAGACGTCCCTGCCCATGACAGGGAGGTTGGATTAGATGATCTCTAAGGTCCTTTCCAACTTATATGATTCTGTGAAATCCAAGTTGAGAGGTAAAAGTTCCCTCTGAAATTTAAATCAGTGCTTTGAAAAGCATTAAATCCACACCCCTCTCTACTGCCCTTGCTCCCCGAAACAGCTCTAAAGAAAAATGCAACCGAGACCTTTGGTACCAACCCAGAGGCCTCGCACTGCTGCTATGAAGGGCGCTCTCACTCCAGCATGGACATTTGTACCAACACAATGGAACAGAGCGGGTGTCCTCATGGTAAAACCCAGCACATCCATGCTGCCAGTGGCACAGAATCATGCTATGTAGTATCATGGAATACACAGCACAAGTGTGAAGAAGCTACCTTTTTGGTGATTTTTCTAAGTTTTTGTGACTATTACCTAGAATTCAAAAGTGATCTCTTTACTACGATTACCAACCAAGACAAAAAAAAAAAAAGATTCGAAGGCTGACATGGATGTGAACCTTTTAAAATGCCTTCAAATGCTATTTAAATTAATGTCTTCCAAGGACTATTCCTCGACGCTGCACAACAGCAGATTCTTCTCTTGTCCAGTAAGCATGCTAAATACAAATCATTCTCTAGACAGCTACTAAAGATACAACAACATATAATTCCAACAACGTATTTTTGGAATTCCTTCTAAGGCAGTTAGGACTTACAAACCTAACAAGAAGATTCACCAGCTGCATTTTAGCTTGAAAGTAAATTTCCACACTATATTGTCCTGTCATTTTGCCTGTCTACATATCCTGTCAGCATAGAGCCAGCACACTTTTCATTGAAAGACAGGTATCTACAACCTCTGATACAACTCTGATCATTAATTCATTAAACTGCCAAAAAGAAAAGGATTAAAACAAAAACGCAACAGAACTGCAGTGAGAAAAATGAAGGAAACAGACAAGACAAAACGCCAAAACTGCCAAAAAGAAAAGGATTAAAACAAAAATGCAACAGAACTGCAGTGAGAAAAATGAAGGGAACAGACAAGACAAAACGCCAGGAGAGAGCATCCCTAAATCATTCTGGAGTTA